AGTAGTGTCTTTCTTTGCTGCAGGGATACAAGCAATATATCCATTTCAAAGCAAGCCTGCTTGTGAGTGGTTATTTACCATTGCTACTTAAATCCTACAGACTGACACTCAGTCCCAACTGTCTCCAAGGGCTGCCCACCCAAAGCCCTGAAGCACTCACCTGTAGCCCCTTGTAAACAACCTCTATGTCAGCAAAGAGAATGAACACACAAAGCGCCAACCAGATGGACATCAGGCAGGTGAAAATATCTGGGGGAAATCAAAGGGAAAACACATAAAAGTGTCTTGTCAGTCCCATCAAATTGCGCTCTCCCTGTAGCAGAATGGAAGGAGATGGGGGTTGATTTTATTTATTTATTTACTTCATTTCTGCCCCGCCTTTCTCAACCCCGGAGAGGACTCAAGGTGCCTTACAAATCTGGCAAAAATTCAATGCCGCACAGGTAAACAATAAAACAAGTGGGCAGGTCCACAGGTGGCCCTAGAAAATGGGAAAGATGACCAGAAGGGACATATTTAGTTGAACATGGATATGTGAAAACATAGACAAGAGCAAACCCTAGTGAAATGAAGGACTTCTGGCCCAAGAATGCCATAGAGCAACTTTGGAGGACCTAGAAATGTTCCATCTCCCAGGAGCCTGATTTGCCTCACTTGCTTGAGGTTGCTTCCTCTTGGATTTTCTCCCAGGGCTGCTGCAGCTTTGCAAGAGCCCTAAAGGTTAATAGTATCAGAGTCTGCAAAGCCAGTCTGCAGGACTCCTTTGCAGCTATTGGTTCAGAAAAGTATTTTTTTGGGTCCAAGGACCGCCTTTTCTCCCAGGGAAGAGATCTCCATTTTGGAATCTCCCCTGCCTTTTCAGTTTAGAGGAAAGACTTCAGACGTGCTGATGGCTAGGCGGTTAGCTCTGGGAAAACTATTGCAAAAACTAAATTGAGTAAGCAATATTAAGCTATAGATAGTATATTATACATTATAGATAAGTATTAAGCTATATTGAGTTAATATAATTAACTCCACAGTTAATACTCCACCTTGGCAGAAAAAATGAAATGCAAAGATACAGAATGGGTGACGCCTGGCTCGAGAGCAGCACGTGTGAAAAAGATCTTGGAGTCCTCGTGGACAACAAGTTAAACATGAGCCAGGAATGTGATGTGATGTGGCGGCAAAAAAAGCCAATGGGATTTTGGCCTGCATCAATAGGAGCATAGTGTCTAGATCTAAGGAAGTAATGCTACCCCTCTATTCTGCTTTGGTTAGACCACGTTACCTGGAATATTGTGTCCAATTCTGGGCACCACAATTCAAGAGAGATATTGACAAGCTGGAATGTGTCCAGAGGAGGGCGACTAAAATGATCAAGGGTCTGGAGAACAAGCCCTATGAGGAGCGGCTTAAGCAGCTGGGCATGTTTAGCCTGAAGAAGAGAAGACTGAGAGGAGACATGATAGCCATGTATAAATATGTGAGAGGAAGCCACAGGGAGGAGGGAGCAAGCTTGTTTTCTGCTTCCTTGGAGACTAGGACACGGAACAATGGCTTCAAACTACAAGAGAGGAGATTCCATCTGAACATGAGGAAGAACTTCCTGACTGTGAGAGCTGTTCAGCAGTGGAACTCTCTGCCCCGGAGTGTGGTGGAGGCTCCTTCTTTGGAAGCTTTTAAACAGAGGCTGGATGGCCATCTGTCAGGGTGATTTGAATGCAATATTCCTGCTTCTTGGCAGAATGGGGTTGGACTGGATGGCCCATGAGGTCTCTTCCAACTCTTTGATTCTATGATTCTATGATTCTATAATATAGATAGTGTATTGTGTATTGAGCTGTATTGAGATATTATAGTTAGATAAGCTTAATTGAGAAGATTGAGTTATATAGTTATAGAGAGAGAGTCTTGACTAGATAGTATATTGTGTATTGAGCTGTATTGAGATATTATAGTTAGATAAGCTTAATTGAGAAGATTGAGTTATATAGTTATAGAGAGAGAGTCTTCACTGCTTTGTCTCCAGAACTAACTTTAGGTTATAGAAAGGGGAAAAAACCTGCTTTTTTCTAAACCACAACAGCTTAGGGTTAGGGTGTAAAGATTCCAGGATCTTATCTGCCATATGGAGAAAAGGTTACCTCTGTAACTAAAGAAAATAATATTTTTGTAGCTTCATCTATTGACTGTTTGCAACTTTGGTGAACTGTGCCAAGTCTTCAAGGACTTTGTATAAATAAATATCCTTTTTTGATGTTTAAAACCAGTAATAGTCTCAATTGCTGAGTGTCTCAAGCTTCTCAAGATAGACACTTGCAGTTCGCTCAGACATAGAGAGAAGCACGTCGCAGTTTTATTTTTTATATCGTCTGGACGGACGGCACAAGAATTTTTTTAGAGAGGGCATACTTGAATGATAAGGGAGTCATACTGGAATCTCAAAACCTGGTTGAGATGACTTGCAACTGATCTTTTAAAATGCACGTTTACATTGTTCTTAACCAGAAAGGGGACCAGGCTAGTCTTCTACTCAGTGGTCCAAGCAGCTGCATGTGTTGCCCAAGAGGCCAAATGGGGCTTAAAGGGCAAAGGCCTGAAACTGGAGATGCTGGAAAGGATGATTTCCCCCATTGGGACTCACAGTTTCTGTAGATGGGCTTCCGGAAGGGCCTTCCCTTGCAGAAGATGAAGGCCAGAACGCAGCAGTCGAGGGTGGCCAGGTGGTAGAGGGTGGTGTTCTCGTAGCTCAGCACTATGTGCCCTGGGGTCGATGTGCCGTTGGATGCCCCATTGCCTCCAAAGGGGAAGGAGGACAGGTTTCCAGAGGGGCACGGGCTGGAAGGAAAAGCAGACCCCTGAAATGACTCCATCCACCATCCTGCCCTGCTATTCCCTGAGCTGCTGTTTTTGGTCAAAAGCCACACCTGGGGAGCTTAATGGGAATCAGGGCTGAATCTCAAAGTATGCTTATTTATTTATTTATTTATTTATTTATTTATTTATTTCATATACTTGTACCCCGCCCTTCTCACCCCCAAGGGAGGACTCAGGGCGGCCTCACAGCAAACACCATTCGGTGCCACCATAATGATAAGAAAATCAACACATTCATTAAACAAAACATTAAATAAACAGTTGTTAAAACACGCCAATTAAAATCTGGGCCCGGGTCAAATTCATTGTCAGTTCAAAATTGCTCATGTCTTCTTCATACAAGCTGCTATTCAATGGTCAAACGCAAAGTCCCACAGCTAAGTCTTGAGTTTCCTTCTAAAGGACAGGAGGGAGGTGGCCAGTCTGATGTGTTTGGGGAGGGAGCCACTGTTGAGATGGCCCTGTCTCTCGTCTCCACCAATCGCGTTTGCGATGGCGGTGGGATTGAGAGCATGATGATTCGTAGTAGGAGATATGTTCAGACATGCAGTCTGGGCCAGAACCATTTAGAGCTTTAAAAGTTAAAACCAGCTCTTTGAATTGTGCTCGGTAGCAGATCGGCAACCAGTGGAGCTGGTGTAACAGAGGAGTTGTATGCTCCCTGTACACTGCTCAGGTGAGCAACCTGGCTGCTGACCATTGGACTGATTGAAGCTTCCGGGCAGTCTTCAAAGGCAGCCCCACATAGAGAGAATTGCAGTAGTCTAATCAGGATGTAACAAGAGCGTGGACTGTTGTGGCTGAGATGGTCTCTGATGATGAGGATGATGGGATTCAGATTCCTGGCTCTTTTTCTGTGCCTCAGATCTCTAGGCCTGCTTCTAGGTCTTTTTTTTGAGGTTCCAACAGACAGTCCGGAGTCAACACAGCGGTTCTCAGAAGAAAAGAATTTTAACGAAGGAGATAGTGAACAAGGAGATAGCAAACAGGTGGGGAGGAATTTGCCTCCTTCCCACGCTGATACTGAAAGTGCAGAAAACTTTGACAGTGACCTGACCCAGCAAGCTCGTCTTGATTTGCGAGTCAGGCGGAGTTCTCGCCTGGCCGGCAGACAAGAAGCCAGCTCAGGGAAAGGTCATCGCAATGCTTTCATGTTGGTGAGAGCATAATGTTTTTATGTTAGAAAGATATTTAGGCTTCTTGCAAACGGAGGGAAGGCATCAGTTCAACGTAGCTTATTAGCCTGAAAGCTTCATGATAGGTCGGGCCAGAACCGTTTAGGGCTTTAAAGGCAAAAGCCAGCACTTTGAATTGTGCCCGGTAGCAAATTGGCAGCCAGTGTACAACCCCTAAGGCCTTGTCAGTGTGAAACCAGAGTTCAAGAGAGAGCTTTGGATAAAAGCTCTCTCTTGCCCTATTTGTCCTTGTTTTCATCATCCTATACCGTCTGCCAGATGGTAATAATTAAACAAAGGAAGAATATGTCAGGTGAGATGGCACTTTAAGCATATACGTTGGGCTTTCTTAAGGTAGCAGGAATGATAAAGACCCACTTCTTAAGAATCAGGGACCAAGCTCTTTAGGAATGGAATGTAATTTCTAAGGGTGCCAGGAAGTCTGTTGCTTCAGAAACAGCCATTGGCTAAAAGCTAGGAAAAAATGGCTGTCCTTGCATTCTGCATCTTTGGGTGCGTCTACACTTTAGAATGAATGCCCTTCAACTGCCATGGCTCAATCCTATGGAATCCTGGGAGATGTGTGATATACTCAGAGGCGGTCCTAGGTAATTTTCAATGGTAAGCAAACAGTATTTTGCCCCCCCCCCCCAACCAATCTTGCCTTGGCGAGGCAAGAAAGCCAAGGCTCCCTCCGGACTGCTAGGGCTGTTGTGAGCTGAGGGGGCGCTCCTCAAGTGGTGGTCGAGGGGCATTTACAAAGGCGCTTCTGTGCCCTTGGCAAAAAAAGTGTTCTGCAACTGCTTACTTCGCGTAATGGATGAGCCGCCCCTGGATATACTTTTTGGAGAAGGATGGACTTGGAAAACGACGACTGCCAGGATTCCCTAGCTTCCCATCTTATGATGCGGGTGCAATGCTCAGATGCAGAACCCAAGGAGAGGAGGCCTCTGCCTGGAGAGCTCACCTGTAGCTGCGCACCTGCTCATACCAGGCCTGCCTCTTGACGAAGACGAAGCCACAGGTCTGGATGGCAAGATCCGAGAGGATGCTGAAGATGACGGAGAGCAGGAGTGGCGGGGAGATGAGGCGCCCAGAGGGGCGGAAGGGGGCCAGCCTAGGATGGGCCTCCGTCAGGCTCACTGCAGAAGGGAAGGAAGGGAGAAGAACAGGTAAGGAGAGTCCCTTGGGTGGAAGGAGAGCCACTGCTTCCCACTGTCTATGGACATCTGGCCTCTGCAGCTGTCATCTGGAATCCTGCCAGGCTGGTAACTGGCCAGAGAGATTGGCAGAAAGAGGGACTGATGCATAGAGCTCTGGGTCCTGGAATGTTAGAGCATCTGCTTGTCAGAACACGGGGTTTTAAATGTAGTGAAATATTGCTTGTAGTTTAAACTGTGTTGATGTAGTAATGCAAGAGTTAAATGCATAGAGATGTGATCTTCCTGTGACAGAGACGGGAGTCAGGAGAGCTGATAAGCCAGGAATACATGCGCTTCTAGCGGTGAATGGCAAAGTGATTAGACGTGTTTTGCTCTACTCCTGTATATAGATTTTAGTGTAGATTGCAATAAAAGATAAGAGCCGCTCCAGGCTTTGGAGCTGACTGAGGTAGAACACTTCGTTATTTACTTTTGTGCCTTTTGAGCAGATGCTCAAGAGGTCAATAAATCAATGCTCATTTCATTCCCAATTGGAAACAGATGGAGAAAAGCCATGGAGAGCATATTAGAAGCAGAGAGGTGTCACAAGAAATTCAATGTGCAGATTTGACAAATATGAATTTAATAAGACGTGTTGGAATGAATGGAAGAATGGAAGGATGTGTGGTTGGCAGGCATGTAGCCGGGGGGGGGGGGGGGGCTGGGGGCTTCAGCCCCCCCTCTCGAAATTCTCATGGTGGTCCGCGAGAAGGACTTATTGGTGCATTATTTAAACTGTTATGTTTATTCATATCATGATCTGATCACCATGCTCAATATATCCCATAAGCATGGAGGTATTGGGGTAATGATACAAAAGGTTTGCTAGGGTAGACCCTCTTTCACTCAGACTCAGCCCCCCCCAAACAAACTCCCCCCCCCCCCGAATCAAAATCCTGGCTACGGGCCTGGTGGTTGGAGTTAATAATTTTGGAAATACCAGTATAATATTAAGGCCGGCAATGACTAACTAGCTGCTTGCTGGAACTGATCAAAACCTGCTAATGAGAATTGATAAGAACTGTGACAATGGTTCTTTCAAGTGAAGGAAATGTTTGCAACATTCCTTATGTTAAGAAGGAAGTCAACATAAGATCAACATCAATCAAGAAGATCAACATCTGGCCAGGAAATTGAGATGGAGCCAGGATGGAAGACGTCTATCGTTCATTTACAACTTTGGGACGACGTCAACAGAATATTCCTATAAAAGACTCGGTCTAATAATGCTCAAAGTGTGACTGACCTGAGGAGTCTGTTCCACCCGCCATGCTCTGCTCCATGGAAAGGAGAGAGATGGTCTATTCGGAGAGTGTCAGATATGCTCTGGGAAAGCAGGATTCTAGAAACTCTGGGACTTCTTTCTCAAGGGAAGAGGAAGAAGTGTGCTTTTGGAGTCTTAGGTTTTGTGCAGGGAGTCAGGTTCTGCTGTAGGGAAAACACAGATCTGGTCCCTGACATTGTTCTTAGGGAAAGGATGCATTTTGGTGTTTTGAAGTTATGGTGTTATGGAAGTTTAGGAACTATACGTTGGCAGGCTGCAGAAAAGCAGGCTCTGGCCCAACAGGTGCTTCTCCAAGGAGGGAGAAAAATGATACGGTAACATTGGAATACCTGAGGATGAATGTGTGTGTACATGTGGTGTGAATGTTGAGTGAAAATTCCCCTTTGCTTGTTTGTTAACCAATGCAATTGTAGATCCAATGTAGTTGCACAGAATCTGTATGTCTGTATGTCCAGTGTCATTCTTTGTCTAATGTTTTTCTGTAATCTGATCTACCCTCTCACACTGGAAATGGCAATAAAAAGAACCTTTGCTTTAAAGTTATTGAAAAGTCATTCATGACAGAGGGAAGGGTCCCCAAAGGGCCTCTCAGGTTCTGGGTCAGGCAGGGGACTTCTTGGTGGCTGCACTGTTAGTGTCAGGTCTTTATGCAGCTTTATTTTGACCGACTGGACCTCTGGGTGGAATTGCTCCAACTCAAATTCCCAAAGATTGTGTGGCCCGCTCACACAAAACATTTATATTGCTGGCATACATTCAAACCATTCCGAGGCCAAGATGACACCTACAGGAAGTTTTCTCCTGATTCAAACTACTTAAGCATGCAACATCCATTTCCTGATCACATGGCGCCCTCTGCTGTCTCAAACTACATCACGCAGGCAAAAATGTCTATATGATATATTGTCGAAGGCTTTCATGGCTGGAATCACTAGGTTCTTGTGGGTTTTTTCGGGCTATAGAGCCATGTTCTAGAGGCATTTCTCCTGACGTTTCGCCTGCATCTATGGCAAGCATCCTCAGAGGTTGAGGTCTGTTGGAAGTAGGAAAAATGGGCTTATATATCTGTGGAATGGCTGGGGTGGGGCAAGGAGCTCTTCCCTGCTGCAGTTAGGTGTGAATGTTTAGCTGATCACCTTCATTAGCATTTGAAGGCCTGCCTGAGTCTGGGAAAATCTGTTGCTGGGAGGTGTTAATCTGTGCCTGGTTTTTTCCTCTCTGTTGTTTAGCTGTTATAATTTTTGAGTTTTTTAATACTGGTAGCCAGATTTTGTTCATTTTCATGGTCTCTTCCTTTCTGTTGAAATTGTCCACATGCTTGTGGATTTCAATGGCTTCTCTGTGTAGTCTGACATGGTGGTTGTTAGAGTCCAGCATTTCTGTGTTCTCAAATAATATGCTGTGTCCAGGTTGGTTCATCAGATGCTCTGCTATGGCTGACTTCTCTTGGTTGAAGTAGTCTGCAGTGCCTTTCATGTTTCTTGATTCGTGGTTGGGCGCTGCGTTTGGTGGTCCCTATGTAGACTTGTCCACAGCTGCATGGTATACGGTAGACTCCTGCAGAGGTGAGAGGATCCCTCTTTTCCTTTGCTGAACGTAGCATTTGTTGGATTTTCTTGGTGGGTTTGTAGATTGTTTGTATGTTGTGTTTCCTCATCAGCTTCCCTATGCGATCAGTGGTTCCCTTGATGTATGGCAGGAACACTTTTCCTCTGGGTGGATCTTCATCTTTACTCTCGTGGCTTGTTCTTGGTCTTGCAGCTCTTCTGATGTCTGAGGTGGAGTATCCATTGGCCTGGAGAGCCCAGTTGAGGTGGTTCAGGTCATCTTGGAGGAGGTGGGGTTCAAAATCAACCAGAGAAGTCAGCAATAGCAGAGCACCTGATGAACCAGCCTGGACACAGCATATTATTTGAGAACACAGAAATGCTGGACCACACCAACAACCACCATGTCAGACTACACAGAGAAGCCATTGAAATCCACAAGCATGTGGACAATTTCAACAGAAAGGAAGAGACCATGAAAATGAACAAAATCTGGCTACCAGTATTAAAAAAACTCAAAAATTATAACAGCTAAACAACAGAGAGGAAAAACCAGGCACAGATTAACACCTCCCAGCAACAGATTTTCCCAGACTCAGGCAGGCCTTCAAATGCTAATGAAGGTGATCAGCTAAACATTCACACCTAACTGCAGCAGGGAAGAGCTCCTTGCCCCACCCCAGCCATTCCACAGATATATAAGCCCATTTTTCCTACTTCCAACAGACCTTCTCAACCTCTGAGGATGCTTGCCATAGAACATGGCTCTATAGCCCGAAAAAACCCACAAGAACCTAGTGTCTATATGATCTTTCTGACACCCTTTCAGCACCATTGCGCCAAGGACCCACCTGCCCCAAAGGCCAAGCACACCTTGCACCCGAGCCAGGTTTTGTACAGGGAAGCTCTCCTAGGGCCATTCCAAGTCTGCAAGGAATGTGAGGATGTTGCATCTTGCAAGTGTGGTTTGGCCCCAATGCTTAGCAATGCTTGCTCCAAGCCCCACAGGGATATGGGGAGTGGAATGGCGACGGATAGGGCAAAGAACGGGCTGCTTACTTGTCAGGCAGGCCACCATAGCAACACCGTCTTGCAGGAGGAACTGATAATTCCCAAAGACCTGCAGTTGCTGAAAGAAGAAAAGGCATCAGAGAGAGATTTGTAGGTAGGCTCAGGTGATGTTTGCATTGACATACGTGAGGCAAATGACCCAGTCAAAGGACCCCAATATGGCAGAGTATGTGGCTTGGTCAAGGCTATATATGAAGATGATTCTATGGCTGAGCAGGGATTCAAGCCCAGGTCCAACCCCCAGACCACTGCAGCTCACTGTCTCTTCCTCCCCTGGACTGAATATCCTTAGCACAGCTTTGCCTCTGCCATTTCCATTCTCATTGGTCCCTCTGCACCCCAGGTTTGCCTCTTGCCACCCATCCCAACTGTCTCTCTCTCTCTAACTCCAGATGCAGTCCCAGTCATAAGCCTTTTTATTTATGGTGGTGACAATATCAAGGCTCTGAAGACATTGTGCACTGAAAATGCAGAAGCACATGGAGGGATGGTTTGAATGCTCCTTCTTTGAGCATTCTCTATAGAAAACCCCTCTTCCATCCCTAAAATAGCTCTGACACTCAGCACTGCTGGGCACCTCCATGGGGGAGAAGGACTAATGTAAACAATCAGATTCTGAATTCTGGTTCATTTTCCACATTGTGGGCTGGGTTGCAGCACAGCTGGTTAATCACTAGCTGCAATAGATCACTGACAACTGGAAGGTGGCAAGTTTGAAGCCTGAGTTGGATTGAGCACCCGACTCTTAAGCATAGCTTACTGTGTACCTAAGCAGTTCAAAAACAGCTGAGCTGTGAATAGAGAAATTAGAGACCTCTTTAAAAAAGTGTGTGTGTGTGTGTGTGTGTTTGTGGGGGGGGGGTATTTTATGACAACATAAAAATGCCAGTGGTCAAAGAGCAAGTAAGAAATACAATCAAAATCTCACCATCATAGTAGATGATGCAACAGCTCCCTCCTGTGGCTAGAATTGAGCATAACCTCCAGGCACCGAAAGGAAATGCCAAAAATCGAAATGCCAAAAATACTTCTATAGAAATGCCAAAATGGAAAGGCCAAAATACTTCTATCTGTCTGTATGTATGTCTAGAAAACAGCACTGAGTGTTTGCTGTGTATGTGTGCATTGTGATAAGCCCTGAGTCCCATTCAGGGTGAGAAGGGCGGAATATAAATACTGTAAATAAATAAATAAACAAACAGTTTCTGCAAATGAAATCAAACTCCTCCAAGAAGTAGAAAATTCTCCTCCACGCTGAGAAGATTTTAAGGTTGTCCAGAAGGCACATCCTTCTCCCTTTTGGTGGAGTTTTGGTGCATCCTAAAAACATGCCCGGATCATCTCCCAAAAGGAGCAGAGGGACAAATGTGTGTTAACATCACAGGAGGGAAAAACTCTGTGGCTTCATAGATATGACGCCTTCTCTCCAGCTTGTGATGACTGCCATCTTCCTTGAGACATACCACCCATTCTGTTTCCAAATACATACCCAGTAAAGCAAAGCACAGCCATTGAACAGAATCACACCATAAAGGACCAGGTATTTGAACACCGCAAAGGAGGAGATGAGGGCGGCACGGCCTTCCCTGCGATGGAGAGGGGGACAAGCCATTAAACGATGGCACTGACCATCACAAAGGGGCTCAACTGGGGAGAAGGCTTCAGACCAATCTCGACACCATAGAAAGTAGATAACGAGCCGAGAGATAGACGAGAAGAGATCAGTCAAAGCAGGAGAGCTAAGCAATGGCTTCGGCACTCTGCCAGGCTTTGACAGAAAACAATAACAAAGCCTCAGCTAAAGAGAAACCAATTTCTGACCACTAGTGACCTAACTAACAAGGGGATAAAAGTCTCAAGTTTGGGATGTGTAGTCAAATGAAGCATCGTTTAGAATCACGCCAAGTTCTCGTCTTTGTTTTATGGAAACCTTGCTTTGAAGTTTCATGCTAAGATATTCCTTGTTCATGGTTTTGGATTCCTGGATTTCAGGATTGCTTACCCAAGCCTTGGATCAATGTATTCCTGAGTTTCTGGATAGTATTGGAGATCTGTGGACTTTGCTTTTATGAACGTTGCTGAACTCTACCTTGGACTGATTTGTTCCTGCTTATCTTCTTACCTAATTGGATTTACCTATGTACTTAAAGTGCTTTTTACTTTGCTGCTTTTTACTTATCTTCAATAAAAGGATTGATATTTCCTATTCAATGTGTGGTGTTTAAAGTCAGAAGGTTATTCCTGTTCTGGAGTGCAACAATTCCCATTTGATCCTGCCTCCTTTCTGATTCCCAGCCATCAAAGCTGGGATTCCAACAGATGGAATTCCAGACTAAAGAGAAGGTATTATTATTATTATTATTATTATTATTATTATTATTATTATTTCTAACCAACTTCTCCACGTGGATTGAGATGGGGACCAACAACACATTAAAATACAACACATACATGCATTTTAAAACATGTGAGTGTGTTACACGAAGAGAAAGGGGGAACGAATGCCACCCAAGTGATTCTGGATGAGACACGACATACCAGATGAGTTCTGGGACGCACTCGATGTTGGGTGTTTGGGAGGTGAAGGGTGACGCCACAGAAGCCTCTTGCTCCGAGAGAGAAATTCCTGCATGAGCAATTTTCAAAGCCTGGGTGAAGAAAGAAAAAATATTTGAAGAGTAGGAGAGATTCTTAAGTATTGCAAGTCAAAGGAGGACAGGTTCTGGGAGAGCTCCAATCTTTTGGAAGTTTTGGAAATTGAGTCTTTAGGCCAAGTGTCATGGTATTATGCTCGTGGAGGTTGTTCTGTCACACGCTGGACCTGTAACAGCTGTCTTTTCTATAGGACGTATACTTTAAGCCCAGCGGGAAGCCAGGGGGCCTCAAAGAGAGGTTTCCAGGGATTTTTCTGAAGTGATGGTCTTTAGAGTTTTTAATGATATAACAAAGTCTTTCTTATGGAACAAACAACAAATCTTCAATGGTTCAAACAACACTTCAAGGCTTTCTTAGTCTAGTCCTCAATGGACTGGCACCTGACTTTGATTAACTGAAACTTCTCTGTAGGAAAAACCCTTTTTAACCTCTCCCAGGCTGTTTACTATCTCTGTCTCATCGGTGTGGGTCCTACTACCGATTCCAAATGCATCTGGGTATCGAGTAGACCTACCAGCCGAGGCTTGTCAATATTTCAGATGGAGTTTCATGGATCTGTAGTGCTGTCCTCCCTCAGAGAATTCTTTAAAAACCTCAGGGTTGTTTTCCCTCTGTTTGCTGTGAGGCTGAGAGGCTGTGAGCTCTCAGCCAGAGCCTTGGGACCTTTTCCCTGGAATTTCTGTTTCTGTTTCCCCGGATGTTCTTGAGGAAAGAAGTTTTTCTACGGGACGAGTTGGTCTATGTCCTATAGTTAGCTTCCTTATGTGAGACTGCCCAAAAAATGGCTCCTTTCCTTCCCAGAGCCCTGAACAAGGGGCGGAACCAAAGCTTAATTATGATGGACAGGAGGCATGCCTTATGACTGCAAACAGATAACAGAAGGAAAATAAAGTTGGAGCTCCTGGTACAGCCGTGTATTGGGTGTATTGGGTATTTGTGCCAAATTTGGTCCAGTGTATGAAAATACATCCTGCATATCAGATATTTACATTACTATTCATAACAGCAGCAAAATGACAGTGATGAACTAGCAATGGAACTAATTTTATGATTGGGGGTCACCATAACATGAGGAAGTGTATTAAGGGGTTGCGGCATTAGGAAGGTTGAGAAACACTGTCCCAAACAGTACTGCTTTGCCTCAACTGCTGCAAGTTTTAGTTCTTGTGAAAACTGGAGCTCTCTAAAACAAAATACTGACAAGTAGAAATAGTTAGATGGTGTGTCACCGTGACTTACCCCACAGTCATTGGCTCCATCTCCGCACATCCCCACGTAGTAACTGGAAGACAGGACAGGACATTATGTAATAGCCCGTCACATAAAATAACACGCAGTAGGATCATTTGTGTGTAAAATACAGACATAGAGCCTTTGTGATTGACACATTTATTTTATTAGGAGTCTTTTCCTCCCCTTGAAATAGTTGTGGTTTGTTGCCCTGTCTCTCTGAATGGAGACTTCTCTGTCATTAGTCAGATAATCCGTGTCTTTATGGAGGCCCGCTTTATAAGCCTCTGGCCATCTGGACATCCACCACTGACTAACAATAACATCCAGACAGGCAGGGTCAACACAACTTACACACTCTTAAGGTCTGGAATTTCAGGATATTTATACAAAGAAATGAACAGTCTATCTGTTGGCCTTTAAAGCTATTCAGTCACGTGCAGCCTGATGCAACTCATAGAATCATAGAATCATAGAATCATAGAATCAAAGAGTTGGAAGAGACCTCATGGGCCATCCAGTCCAACGCCCTGCCAAGAAGCAGGAATATTGCATTCAAATCACCCCTGACAGATGGCCATCCAGCCTCTGTTTAAAAGCTTCCAAAGAAGGAGCCTCCACCACACTCCGGGGCAGAGAGTTCCACTGCTGAATGGCTCTCACAGTCAGGAAGTTCTTCCTCATGTTCAGATGGAATCTCCTCTCTTGTATTTGAAGCCATTGTTCCGCGTCCTAGTCTCCAAGGAAGCAGAAAACAAGCTTGCTCCCTCCTCTCTGTGGCTTCCTCTCACATATTTATACATGGCTATCATATCTCCTCTCAGCCTTCTCTTCTTCAGGCTAAACATGCCCAGTTCCTAAGCCGCTCCTCATAGGGCTTGTTCTCCAGACCCTTGATCATTTTAGTCGCCCCCTCTGGACACATTCCAGCTTGTCAATATCTCTCTTGAATTGTGGTGCCCAGAATTGGACACAATATTCCAGGTGTGGTCTAACCAAAGCAGAATAGAGGGGTAGCATTACTTCCCTAGATCTAGACACTATGCTCCTATTGATGCAGGCCAAAATCCCATTGGGTTTTTTTGCCGCCACATCACATTGTTGGCTCATGTTTAACTTGTTGTCCACGAGGACTCCAAGATCTTTTTCACACGTACTGCTCTCGAGCCAGGCATCCCCCATTCTGTATCTTTGCATTTCATTTTTTCTGCCAAAGTGGAGTATCTTGCATTTGTCACTGTTGAACTTCATTTTGTTAGTTTTGGCCCATCTCTCTAATCTGTCCAGATCGTTTTGAATTCTGCTCCTGTCCTCTGGACTATTGGCTATCCCTCCCAATTTGGTGTCGTCTGCAAACTTGATGATCCTGCCTTCTAGCCCTTCATCTAAGTCATTAATAAAGATGTTGAACAGGACCGGGCCCAGGACGGAACCCTGCGGCACTCCACTTGTCACTTCTTTCCAAGATGAAGAGGAAGCATTAGTGAGCACTCTCTGTGTTCGTCCACTTAACCAATTACAGATCCATCTCACCGTAGTTTTGCCTAGCCCACATTGGACTAGTTTCCTTGCCAGAAGGTCATGGGGGACCTTGTCGAAGGCCTTCCTGAAATCCAGGTACGCTACATCCACGGCATTCCCCGCATCTACCCAGCTTGTAGCTCTATCGAAGAAAGAGATCAGATTAGTCTGGCATGACTTGTTTTTGATAAATCCATGTTGACTATTAGCGATGACTGCATTTGTTTCTAAGTGTTTGCAGACCGCTTCCTTAACAATCTTTTCCAGAATCTTGCCTGGTATCGATGTGAGGCTGACCGGACGGTAGTTGTTTGGGTCATCCTTTTTTCCCTTCTTGAAGATTGGGACCACATTGGCCCTCCTCCAATCTGCTGGAACTTCTCCCGTTCTCCAAGAACTCTCAAAGATGGTTGCCAATGGTTCCGAAATAACTTCCGCTAGTTCCTTCAATACTCTTGGGTGTAGTTGATCTGGCCCTGGGGACTTGAACTCATTAAGAGCGGCCAGGTATTCCTGGACGACTTCTTTCCCAATTTGGGGTTGGATGTCCTCCAATCCCTCATCCACTCCATCTTGCTGAGGTTGAATACTCTCTTTTTGTGAGAAGACCGAGGCAAAGAAGGCATTAAGTAGTTCTGCCTTTTCCCTATCCCCTGTCAGCATTGCCCCATCTTCTCCTCGAAGAGGTCCTATCGCCTCCTTGTTTTTCCTTTTTCTACTGACATAAGAATAGAAGCCCTTTTTATTGTTTTTAATGTCCCTAGCAAGTCTGAGCTCGTTTTTTGCTTTAGCCTTGCGGACCTTTTCCCTACAGGTGTTGGCTATTTGTTTGAATTCTTCTTTGGTGATTTCTCCCTTTTTCCACTTCTTGTGCATGTCTCTTTTGTGTCTTAGCACAGTTAGAAGTTCTTTGGACATCCATTCTGGCTTCTTTGCACTTGTACTATTTTTTCTCTTTGTTGGCACGGTTTGCAATTGCGCCTTGAGTATTTCACTCTTGAGAAATTCCCATCCATCCGTAACTCCCTTGTCTTTTAGTATCTGTGTCCACGGAATGCTGCTCAGCGTTTCCTTCATTTTTGGAAATCAGCTCTCCTAAAGTCCAAAATGCGGGTTTGACTTGTCTTAGTTTCGGCCTTCCTTTGTACCTCAAATTGCAGGAGCACATGGTCACTTGCCCCTAAGGATCCTACCACTTCGACCGCATCGATCAGGTCCTCCGCATTTGTTAGGATGAGATCAAGAGTAGCCAATCCCTTGTTGCCTCTTCTACCTTCTGGACCATGACATTGTCTGCAAGGCAAGCGAGGAATTTGTTGGACCTTGTACTCTTGGCCGAGTTTGTTTTCCAGCAAATATCGGGATAGTTGAAATCGCCCATGACTACTACATCTCTTTTCTGTGCCTGTTTGGTCAACTGTTGGCAGAAGACTTCATCAAGTTCTTCCTCCTGGCTTGGGGGTCTGTAGTAGACGCCTACAACGACATCTTTTTGAGTCCCAGTTCCCTTGATTCTTATCCAGATGATTTCAAGCTGGTTTCCCAGATTGCTGTCTTGAATCTCTTCTGCAGCATAAGAGTTTTTGACATATAAGGCTACTCTGCCTCCTCTCCCCTTTGTTCGGTTTCTGTGAAAGAGGTTATACCCCTCGATATCTACATTCCAGCGATAGGAGTCATCCCACCAGGTTTCAGTGATCCCTATGATATCATATTTGTGGTGTTGTGCTAAAAGTTGAAGTTCGTCTTGTTTATTTCCCATGCTCTGTGCATTAGTGTAAAGACATGTGAGCCCCTGGGATCTTCCCTTGAGCTGTTTAATTGGGATTATTGTGCTTTTGGTACTTGGTCCTTGTTGTGTTTGTGCAGCCCTCCGTTTAGCCTTCTGGCGATTCCCAGACATTATGGGTAAAGTAGTGTTCGCAAGGCTGTTGTCCCCCTCCCCCGGTGGACCTAGTTTAAAGTGCGTCTAATGAGGTTTGCGAGTCTGTGAGCAAAAAGGTGTTTTCCTACTTGTGTGAGATGCACCCCATCCCTTGCCAGTAGGCCATCCTCCTGGAAAAGCAGGCCATGGTCGAGGAAGCCAAAGCGTTCCTCCTGACACCATTTTCTAAGCCAGTCATTGACCTGTACTATTTTTCTGGCTCTTGTGGGTCCGTGTCTTACAACAGGGAGGAGGGATGAAAAGACCACCTGTACATTACATTCTTTTAGCTTTGCTCCTAGAGCTCGAAAATCATTTGTGATCTTTTGAAACGTATGCCTTGCAGTATCATTGGTTCCTACATGAATCAACATGAGGGGAGGACGGTGATAGGGCTTGAGGAGCCTGGTGAGCCTCTGAGTGATATGGTGTATTTTTGCCCCCGGTAGGCAGCATATTTCTCGAGCCATCCCATCTGGTCTGGAAATGACAGCTTCCGTTCCTCTAAGGAGGGAGTCGCCTACTACCAAGACCTGTTTACTTTCAGGAATGACAGGGCCCCTTTTGTGCAATGTAGTGTGTAGGTCTCCAGAAAAGTGATCCTGTTGGTGTGAATTGTGTAGGTGAAAAGTGTTGTCCTCCTCCTCGACATCCCCGGTGCATTCGTCAAGGACAATCCATTGAGATTCGTCCAAGAGCCTATGGTTTTCCTGTATGTGTTCCTGTTGCTCCTGGTCTATGGTTGGGGATGGTACACCTGCAGGATTGTGCAAGTGTGAATGTTGTGAAGTGTTGTCCCAGTCAGGGCTATCCCCCGCACACTGATCAAGGATGAGCCACTGATCAGTATCTAAGCCATTCTGGTCTTCCCCAGTATGTTGTGTTTCTTGGTCAGGTGCTAGTTGTGTGAGAATTTGGAATCTATTGTGTAACTGCAGCTGAGCGGAAGTATTCTGAGGAGGCTTCCGGGTCCTATGTGTCCTTCTAAGGGTGACATTTCTCCAAGCCTGAGGGTTGTCCACATCTGAGGTGCTGTTCTGTTGAGCCTCCCCGTAATGTTGGTGTGATATGGGCTGCGTGTCTAGGACAGTGTGGTGTGTGGTGTCTAAGAACAGCTCAAGTTCCTGAATGTCCTTAAGGGTGTTAATACGGCCCTCGAGTTGTCGTATCCTGTGTTCCTTGCGAGTGATCTGTGTATACTTGGGGCAGATGTAATTGAGTAATTGTAGTGTGAAAAAGCTGAACATGCCACAGCTTGTGCATGAGACGGGAAGTTTTCGTGTTTGTTCCATCTGGAGGTTGCTAATGACCTCCTCTTGGTGTGTGTTTGATGTTGTCTGTATGCAGGGGTGAAAGTATAGGTTACTGAGTGTACGAGTTTAATTTTTAAACTCAGGAAGCCCTGCCTCTCAAACTCAGAGTAAGCTTCACCTTGCTGCCTAACACCACCACACGAGAGCTGTAGTTTTACAGTTTATTGAGGAGAAAATCTAAGTCAAAATAAAGAGTAAGCATTGCAAAATTCCAAAGATTAAGGTTAAATGCAGAATACAGTTCCAAAGATCTTCAGGTAAAAGCAGGAGACATAATCCTATTGGCAAAGTTCAAACCAGAGTCCCAGGTACAAGCAATGAAATATTTGCCCCATGAATCACAATGCAAGAAATCCCAAGCGTGCTGCTTTCCAGGCTAAGATTATTCGATGAAGCTTTCAGGCTAGTAAGCTACGTTGAACTGATGCTTTCACAGAGTTTCCAGGAGGCCTAAATGCCTTTCTAACATCAAAACATTAGGCTCTCATCAACATAAAAGCATTGCGATGACCTTTCACCGAGCTGGCCTCTCGTCTGCTTGCCAGATGCGAGCTCCGCCTGACCCGGAGCTCAAGGCGAGCTTCCCGGGTCAAGTCACTATCTACACTTTCGGTATCATCGTGGGAAGGCACCTGCTTGCTATCTCCTTTGTTAAAATTCCTTTCTGGTGAAAACAGCTGTGTTGACACTGCACTGTCTGTGAGAGCCTCAGAAGCAGGCCCAGAAATTTGAGGCACAGACAAAGAGCCAGGAAGCTGAATCCCAGCAGGAATCTGAATCCCATCATCCTCTGCATCAGAAAATAGTTCAGCTACAACACAGCCCTAGACATGCAAACACTCAACCCTTAGGAAGAAACAGACTTTTCAGTGCCAAGGCTCAATATTTCATTGCAATATGGCAGGTAAAATGATACTCTTTGATAAGGACAGATCTCCCACATTTATTTAGAAAGTTTTCTCTACTCAATGCAGGAAAGTTATTATTTTAAACAATAATGGGATGTCCTGAACCCTATGCATTCTTAAGAACTGGAATCTCAGGATATTTATATAAGGAAATGAACAGCCACTCCATTAGTATTTTAAGTTATTTATATATTTTTACATAATTTGTTTTTTTATCCGGCCTTTCTCCTGATAAAGGGACTCAACACACCTATGTATTATATGGAGTTATAGATATTCAAACATGAAAAAAAAAAACATTCCATGCCCAATACATCTATTGCATTTCGACCTCCTCTAGTATCAGATTGAAACAAAGATACTAGGGGTTTGTGACAGCACCCAGACTCAACAACACAAAAGAAGATGCAAATGCATTTCCAAAAAAAACCTCAACTCCAAAGATAATAGTATTCACAAAGATAATACTATTTGAGGTTATTACCACATCAAGTTCCGGTACAGATTCTGGGATTCCTCTTAACCTCAAATATGCACTCTTAATGACACTCCACAATTCACAGAAATGACCGCTGTGTTTTATGCTCTACAAACACACTACTTGCACTTCTGATTCTGAAATTTCACAAACGATAATCCAAATTAGCATCTGGCCTGTATCTCGCTCCTGTCCAAAATCAATCCTGGAACCTTTGGATAAATACGCCCCACCTTTTTCTTTCTATTTTGGGACCAAATCACCTACTCCAGTTTCTGGAACTCTTCCACCAGGCTGGATTTCTGCCCTGGAGACATCCGTGCAAACACAGTCCCATTCACGAGAATCTGCAGAAAGCAAAATGAATAGAGTTTATTTTTCCAAAAATGACCAATTATTCAATTTGCAAGTCAGACACTCAAGCTGTGAGCCCCCACCCCACCCCCAGTTTGCCCCCCATTTTACCTTTGGCAACAAAGAGCTGAAGAATTTCTGGATTACTTGAAAGGTCTTCCCATTCATGGCAAAGTGGAAACTGCTGCTGCTGCTGCTCCCTTTGCCATAAATAGCAATGCAGGGATCCTAGAATTTAGGTGAAAACAATTTCCATGCATTACCCCTATAGACCTTTTACAGCCATTTTATGTTAATGTGCACAGCAAAGCAAAGGGATGATAGACGAGGTGAGGTGCTGCTCAGAGATGCTTTGCGTCCTCCTGGGATAAGAATGACCCTCCAGTCTCTTCTTTCTTTTGATGCAGATGCTGAGCCTGGCATAAAACCTTGGTGAATGTGGTGCCCAAATGTTGTCAAGACACAAGACCCTCCCCTCCCTCCTGAAAGATCTATAGTTCACCAAGGGTTCTCCAATAAATATATTGTTTTTATTTTTAAAATACTTTTTGAACTTTTGCTACCTCAAAGCAGCAGAAATCAGGAGCAGACTGGTGACACCTTCTTCTGCACAAAGACTTTACTACTGTTCAATCCTTTTAATAAAATGTATGTATTTTCCTGACTTTCTACCTAGCTTGCATCTTTCTGTATACTGTGCCAATTTCCTTTATATAAAACTAGCCGTCCCCTTCCATGGAACATGCAACATAGCATTGTCCTTCTTTAAGGGTCCCTTTCAAATCTATGATACTATATCTCTCTGTGTGTGAATCACATCTATCTCTGTCAGGGGTGATTTGAATGCAATATTCCTGCTTCTTGGCAAAATGGAGTTGGACTGGATGGCCCATGAGGTCTCTTCCAACTCTTTGATTCTATGATTCTATGATTTTATGATTCTATGGACTGTTGAGGTAATCAAGGACTCATGATCATTCCTTAACTATTGCCTTCACAAAGGATGTCTCCTCCCAGAGGATGTCCCAGTAGCTCATTGGTTCCCCAGCCAGTGAATCCCTGGCTGACATTTCCAAGCAAAAGGGAATCCCTGCCTGGAGGTGGCAACCGTCAGTGGCACCCTCAGCCAATCAGGGTAGAGATCCAGACTGGATCCAGACTGGGAGGGGAGTGGGAGTTTTGAATAGCTGTTAAACTGTACACGATGTCTTGTTTTCTCTGTACTATACTTGCATCCCTTTTGGCTGAACTGAATAAGCTTCTGTGGCTTGTCTTCAACCTGCCCCCGGTGGCGCAGTCGGTTAAACCCCTGTGCTGGCAGGACTGAAGACCGACAGGTCGCAGGTTCGAATCTGGGGAGAGGTGGATGAGCTCCCTCTACCAGCTCCAGCTCCTCATGCAAAGGGGTCATGAGAGAAGCCTCCCACAAGGATGATAAAACATCAAATCATCCGGGCGTCCCCTGGGCAACGTCCTTGTAGACGGCCAATTCTCTCACACCAGAAGTGACTTGCAGATTCTCAAGTCTTTCCTGACACGACAAAAAAAAACTTGCTGACTCTTTCTCTGTCTTGTCCCATTCAGTTTAGCTTGTGCTCACCAGGCATGGATCCTTTTATCTGTGGTCCTAGTTATCCATGACACAAGCATCTCTTCCTTTGTCTACTGAACAATGGCATACACACCAGCTGAAGCAATGTCCTTGTGTGCATTTCATCCCCTCTCTTTGCTCACAGAAAGGCAAACTGAAAGCCATTCCTTTCCATGGAGAAACAAGCCACCAGCAATGCGGTCTGGGTCAAAGGCTTCTTGCCTTCGTTGCCCATGAATGCAAAGGACTCTGCCAATTATAAAATCCGAAGTGTTGGTCTGGGGCTTAGGAGAGCTAGCCCTGGGTCTAAGACATGGACCTCCCTGGGTGGCCTTGGACTAACTCCTCTGTCCTTGTCCTATCTCAGAGGAATACTGTCAGGAGAAAGTGGGAAAGGGACACATGGGCTGAAACTGGCATGGTGCTCCACTCCTTCCTCTTTGCCCTTTGCCAGATAATCTAGACCTGTTTTAACACCTTTATCACTACCTGGTTGCATGTAGAAATACAAATGTAAGGCCAGGAACACATCTACACTGTAGAATAAATGCAGTTTTATACCACTTTAACTGTGATGGCTCAGTGCTTTAGAATCCTGGGAGATGTACTTTGGTGAGTTACCAACACTCTTTGATGGAGAATGCTCAAATCCATACAAAACCTGCAACCCTCAGGATTCCATTGCACTAAATCATTTCAGTTAAAGTGGGGCCAAACTGCATTAATTCAATAGTGTACACTCTCTTGGTTGCTGGAAGGCAGCATTTGCTACTTCAATACCATTAAGCTTCTCCTCCACCCCATGGATCTATTAATCCCACTCAGATTAAATTTCTGTGAAGAATTTAGAACTGACGGCCTTACTTGGTTCTTCTCTTTGCACGACTCTGTGTCCTCCACCACCTGCCAAGTCACAGATACTGGGTGGGGATCCCCTGGATCACTGGCTTCTACCAGGATCACTCTGTCTCCCAAAGGGATCATGCCAGAGTTCCTGCCCACCGTGATGGCCGTCTCCAGGTTGTCACCTGCAAAGGAGAAAGCGAAGCCCACGGGTTGAGTCTCAAGGGAGCTTTGCTTGGCCCACCTGGAAGGGCCTCAAGGCACTGTTGGAGCATTGGCTGCACCAACAGCAGTGACTCTGCCCACTCTCAGTGCATGGATAGCCCATAAAAGAAAGAGGCAGAGAAAAAGAGTCATGGTGGTACCTGTGACCATGACGGTCTGGATGCGGGCCTCCCTGAGCTCTTCCAGGACAGGCCTGGTCTCGCCCTTCAGCCGGTTCTCCATGACCAGGAGGCCCAGGAAGGTCAGGCCGGACTCCAACTCATCCCTTGGAAGAATCAGAAGCAAAAAGGGTGCTACATTCATAGACTCCTACGTTTGGAAGAGGCTCCTAAGGGCCATCCACTCCAACCCCCTTCTGCCAGGCAGGGAGACACAATCAAAGCACTCCTGGCAGATGACCATCCAGCTTCTGTTTCAATATCTCCAATGAACTCCCTGACACTCAATATTTCATTAGAGTTGGAAGTGCCCTAGAGGCCACATAATCCAATCCTTTCCTGCCACAACTGGGTCACTCCCGAAAGATACCTGTGCTGTCACACGCTAGGCCTGTGAAAGTGTCTGTAGACAGGACGTGTTTTCTTAATCCCAATGGGACGCCGGGGGTGCCTCGGCTGAGAGGCCCTTTGGATTTCCCCACACAAAGTTCTTTTAAAGACTTAGAAAGTTCAACAAAGCTTTTATTGTTGCTTAAATCTTCAATAAATCAAGCAAATACTTCAAGGCTTTAATCAACTGGTAGTTTGCTTAAATCTTGTCCACAAGGCACAGGCAACTTTCTTCATAAACTGTTTCTTCTTTCTATAAGGGAAATCCTTGAACCCTCCTTGGGCAATCTGTATTTAGGCTTTGCTGGCGTGGGACCCTACACCTGGTTCCAATTTAAATAATGGCTGATGCGAGAGGTCCTTACCAGGCCAAAGTCTCTGTGTAGATTTCCAAGAGGAAAGAAGTCCTTTGTTTCCCAGCGAAGGCTGGCTGAAAAACTGTGGAGCTATATTTCTCCAGCAAAGAGCTGGCTGTAGAGTTGTGGAACTAAATTCCCCAACAAAGGCTATGCTGTAGTTTTCTGTAAAGCTGTGGGACTGGATCCCCCCAGCAAAGCTGTAAAAGGTGAAGCTTTCTACAAGTGGAACTGATTCACATCCTGTACGAAAGGCTTCTCTGTGTGAACTGAACTAGAGGTCCCCTTTCTCCCTCCCCAACCCAGAAAAAGGGGCGGAACTAAAGAACATAATGATAATTGATGGGCCATTGGCCTTATGATTGCAAACCAAGGAAAGCCACCTTATTGCAAAATGCATGGAACCTTGGAATACATGCAAACACTCAATAGAAAGGAAAAGAAGCTGGAGCTCCTGGTACAGCCGTACCAGCACAATACCCATCCAACCTCTGTTATTTTAAGTCATTGGAAGCAACCTCAGATCCCATGGAAGGAGAAAGGCAGGGCATACACAGAATCATATAAATAGATAGATAGATAGATAGATAGATAGATAGATAGATAGATAGATAAATAAATGTCTTCATTATGCAAGGGAGTCATTCTTAAAGTAGGCTCAGCTCCTTGGACAACCCCTTAAAGTTCAGACTAGAACCAGGAGAGGGGATTCAAACTCTTACCTGTCCAGGTCCCTGAAGCTGTCTCCTGCATCTAGAGAGAGTTCTTTGTGGGCCAAGGCAATGACCCGGAAGCCCTGGGCCGTGAAGGACTTCAGCTCTGCTTGGAAGGAGGATGGCACTGGAGGGGGGAGATGGAAGAAGGAGGTCTTGAGTGACAGGGGGAGATGAGCCCTGCAGTGGAAGGAAGAATTGTACCCAAAACGGGACTGGAAGTGGGCAGGGGTCCAATAATGAAGATTCAGAAAAGGCAGAAGAGCTCAACTGCTCAACACCTTCTTTGCCTCAGCCTTCTTTCTCCCAAAAGGTAAACGGGGAGGATGGAGCAGAGGGTATTTATTTATTGTGTCAGGAGCGAACCAAAACAGACAAACAAACAAACAAAACACAAAATTTGCAGACTTGGTATTCTATTAAATGTCATTTGACCAGTATCTGGCCAATTGGAGTCCCTCTGGTGTTGCCGCAAGGAGGTCCTCCCTTGTGCATGTGGCAGGGCTCAGGGTGCATTGCAGCAGGTGGTCAGTGGTTTGCTCTTCTCCACACTCTCATGTCATGGATTCCACCTTGTGGCCCCATTCCTTAAGGTTGGCTCTGCATCTCGTGGTGCCCGAGCGCAGTCTGTTCAGTGCCTTTCAAGTTGCCCAGTCTTCTGTGTGCCCAGGGGGGAGTCTCTCCTTTAGTATCAGCCATTGGTTGAGGTTCTGGGTTTGAGCCTGCCACTTTTGGACTCTGGCTTGCTGAGGTGTTCCAGCGAGTGTCTCTGTCGATCTTAGGAAACTATTTCTTGATTGAAGTTGTTGACGTGTTGGCTGATACCCAAAGAGGGGATGAGCTGGAGATGTCACTGCCTTGGTCTTTCACTATTGGCTGCTAGTTCCCGGCAGATGTCAGGTGATGCAAGACCAGTGTTTCTCAACCTGGGGGTCAGGACCCCTGGAGGGGTCGCGAGGGGGTGTCAGAGGGGTCACCAAAGACCACCAGAAAACACAGTATTTTCTTTTGGTCATGGAGGTTCTGTGTGGGAAGTCTGGCCCAATTCAATTGTTGGTAGGGTACATAATGCCCTTTGATTGTAGGTGAACTATAAATCCCAACAACTACAACTCCCAAATGTCAAGGTCTATTTTCCCCAAACTCCACCAGTGTTTACATTTGGGCATATTCAGACATTGTGCCAAGTTTGGTCCAGATCCATCATTATTTGAGTCCAGAGTGCTCTCTTGATGTAGGTGAACTACAACTTCCAAAACTCAAGGTCAATGCCCACCAAACCCTTCAGATATTTTCTGTCCGTCATGGGAGTTCTGTGTGCCAAGTTTGATTCAATTCCATTGTTGGTGGAGTTCAGAATGCTCTTTGATTGTAGGTGAACTATACATCCCAGCAACAACTCTCACAGGACAAAATCAAGACCCTCCCCCAATCCCACCAGTATTCATATCTGGACGTACTGGGTATTTGTGCCAAATTTGGTCCAGTGAATAAAATACATCCTGCATATCAGAGATTTGCATTACTATTCATAACAGCAGCAAAATGACAATTATGAAGTAGCAATGAAACTAATTTTATGGATGGGGGGTCACCATAACATGAGGAAGTGTATTAAGGGGTCACAGCATTAGGAAGGTACAGAGTGGGGCACTTGCTTGAGAGTTAATTACTGCTTTTAATGAAATGTTTGGAACTGTTTCATTATCCAGGCAGAGGGCAACAGGGGGCGCTAGACAGAGAAGGATAGTCCCTCATATGGGGGAGAGGGGAGTTGAAACATTTTCCACAGATATGTAAACCCTTTTTCCTAGTTCCAACAGACCTCACTACCTCTGAGGATGCTTGCCAAGATGCAGGCGAAACGTCAGGAGAAAAATTGCCTCCAGAACATGGCCATATAGCCCGGAAAAACCTACAACAACCCAGTGATCCCGGCCATGAAAGCCTTTGACAATACGATTTCCCAATTGTTTTCCTGTTATTCCCCCACCCATGTCACCGTCATAGAAGGAACGCTGGTTTATGAAATGGGAAGTGGGGAGGGAAATAACCAGCAAAAACAAGGGAGAATGTTTCACCTCCTTCAACTCCCCTCTCCCCCATATGAGGGACTATCCTTCTCTGTCTAGCGCCCCCTGTTGCCCTCTGCCTAGATAATGAAACAGTTCCAAACATTTCATTAAAAGCAGTAATTAACTCTCAAGCAAGTGCCCCACTCTGTATAAAAAGGCATGTTATTCAGCACCTGCCTCTGTGTGCCTGGGAAGTCAGGTTGGACACTTAGGTTGCTGCTGACCCCAGAGTTGGAATGCCTGAGGCCGGGAAGGAGGCCGCTCTCTCCCTAGAATCCTAGAATCAAAGAGTTGGAAGAGACCTCCTGGGCCATCCAGTCCACCCCCATTCTGCCAAGAAGCAGGAATATTGCATTCAAAGCAACCCTGACAGATGGCCATCCAGCCTCTGTTTACAAGCTTCCAAAGAAGGAGCCTCCACCACACTCCCTCCGGGGCAGAGAGTTCCACTGCTGAATGGCTCTCACAGTCAGGAAGTTCTTCCTCATGTTCAGATGGAATCTCCTTTCCTGTAGTTTGAAGCCATTGTTCCGCATCCTAGTCTCCATGGAAGCAGAAAACAAGCTTGCTCCCTCTTCCTCCCTGTGGCTTCCTCTCACATATTTATACATGGCCCTCATCATATCTCTTCTCAGCCTTCTCTTCTTCAGGCTAAACATGCCCAGTTCCCTAAGCCGCTCCTCATAGGGCTTGTTCTCCAGGCCCTTGATCATTTGAGTCGCCCTCCTCTGAACACATTCCAGCTTGTCAAGATCTCTCTTCAATTGTGGTGCACAGAATTGGACACAATATTCCAGGTATTCCCTCTCCCTCCCTCCTTGGCTTTGGCCAGGAACACTCTCAGGTCAGACTTCCCTTCCTACCGGTGCTTGGATGGCAGAAGCTGGCCACGGTCTCGGGGGCTCCCTTCATGTAGAGGCCGTGGGTGTCCTTCCCCAGCTCTTTGGTGATGACCGACATCTGCAGCAGAGAGGAGGAGAAGGGGAACTGGTGCAGGATGGCCATCCCTTCCAACGGGGCCTGGAGGGGAGAAGCGGGCAGGTGGGTTCGTGGCCCCATCAAACTGGCCTTCCACCAAAGTTGTAGTCATGTAAAGGGTCTGTACGCACATTCCATGAGGCAAGATGGAGGTCACTGAATTAGTTTTGCACCTGAGAAGTACCTCTGGACCCTGACCCTTGTCTCTCTTCACACATTCATCCACCCTGCACTGTGGGCTTGTCTTAAATGTTCTGCAAAGGGGGAAACTCAGGCGTTACCTTGGAAGCATTGGGTCCTGGTTTCACCACGGAGCATGTCCTTGGCGCATCACCCTCTGGCTCTCCTGAACCGGATTCTTCCATCTCCTGCAGGAGTTGGTTTGGAGACACAATGTGAGTGGAAGGCATCCCAAGGAACCTCCAGGGAACAATGGGATACCAGGGGATTCTGGAGAGCCCAAGGCATTGAGTGTGGAGATAGAACAGAAGAAGGCTATCCCAATAGACTTGGGTTCAGAAATTGGTTTCCTGGGAGAACCGTTCCTTTGGTTTCAGAAGGCAAGGGTCCCATCCCTGGCCTTGAGGTGTTTGAACAAGGAGGACAAGGCCTGGTCACAGATTCACAGAAGATGGATGTGGCCATCATGTGTGATTCCGGTCACTCTTGCACCAGACATGTTCATCACCAAGGGTGCATCTTCACTGTAGAGTCTACGCAATTTGAAGTTGCTTTACCTGCCAGGGCTCAATGCTTATGCGTTCTTGAGAGTTCTAGTTTTGCAAGATCTTCAGCCTCATTTGCCAAAAGAGAGCTGGTTCCTCACCAGACTACAAATCCCAAGATACCATAGAATTAAGCCATGGTTGTTGACATGGGGTCCAACAGCATTTATTCTACAGTGCAGATGCAATCTAACCTGACTCTTAAAGAACTGCACGGAGGCATATGCGCCAGCCACACAGCAGGATTATACCAGTTTGACATCACTTTAACTTCCATGGCTCCATCCTATGGGATCATGGGATTTGTAAGTTGGTATGGCACTGGCACTCTTTGGCAGAGAAGGCCCAAGAGCTTGCAAAGCGACTACTCCTGTGAGCCATGGCAGTTGGAAGTGGTCTCCACCCCCATTAATCCTACAGGGTAGATGCACCCCTATATACTTCACTGCATGCCCTTCAAACAGTCAGCTGGATGTAAACCTTTCCTCAGGGTGACCTGGAAGACCCCCATGAAAGGCCCCCATGAAAGGCCTCTGAAGAAGATGTCCACCTCCAGATAACAGGAGAGGTCCCTTGATGGAGAGGCAGGTAGAAGAGAGTGGCCAGAAGGGAGGGGTGAGAGGAGGCAGGTGGAATAGATGGAGACTCACCCATCCGGTGCCTTCAAACATCTTGAGGTCCATGGGGTCCCCCTGGAGCCTCCCCTCCAGGAAGAGGAGCGAGTGGCAGGTGGCCATGGCTTGGCAGAGGGGGCCCCAGGGCAAAGGGCCCGAGGAGGAGAAGCTGTGCAGCGGGAGGAAGCTGAGATACAAAGACAGTGGTCAGCAATGGGTCCCTGCCAAGAAGGAAGGCATCAGACGAGGCCATCTGTCAGGGGTGATTTGAATGCAATATTCCTGCTTCTTGGCAGAATGGGGTTGGACTGGATGGCCCACGAGGTCTCTTCCAACTCTTTGATTCTATGATTCTATGAGGTTGTCTTGAGCTCAAGGAGAGCCAGGAGGCTTTGCTTGGGATGCTGCTTTGGGGCTGTGCTCTGTGCAGAATCAAAGCTTCTCCAAAGGAATCATAGGCTCATAGAGCTGAAAGAGACCCCCAAGGGCCATCCAAATTAACCTCAAACCCTCCTGACAGATGACCAGCCAGCCTCTGCGTCAAAGCCTCCAGAGAAGAAGACTCCACTGGAGTCTCTCAAGAAACACCAAACACCTCTGGCCACCTCCTGTTTGGGTGGAATCCCTTTTCCTGCAGTTTGTATCCATTGAGTTCTGGAGAGCTGCAAAACAAACCCAAGTGTGTCCCCTTCTCAGTGTGGCATCCTTTCAGACATTTGAACCTGGCTCTCAAATCCCCTTCTCTCAGCCTTTTCTTCTTTTCTTCTCCAGTGTCTAGATCTAGGGAAGTAATGCTCTCCCTCTATTCTGCTTTGGTTAGACCACACCTGGAATATTGTGACCAATTCTGGGCACCACAATTCAAGAGAGATATGGACAAGCTGGAATGTGTCCAGAGGAGGGCAACTAAAATGATCAAGGGTCTGGAGAACAAGCCCTATGAGGAGCGGCTTAAGGAGCTGGGCATGTTTAGCCTGAAGAAGAGAAGGCTGAGAGGAGACATGATAGCCACATATAAATATGTGAGAGGAAGCCACAGGGAGGAGGAGGGAGCAAGCTTGTTTTCTGCTTCCATTAAGATTAGGACACGGAACAATGGCTTCAAACTACAAGAAAGGAGATTCCATCAGAACACGAGGAAGAACTTCCTGACTGTGAGAGCCATTCAGCAGTGGAACTCTCTGCCCTGGAGTGTGGTGGAGGCTCCTTCTTTGGAAGCTTTTAAACAGAGGCTGGATGGCCATCTGTCAGGGGTGATTTGAATGCAATATTCCTGCTTCTTGACAGAATGGGGTTGGACTGGATGGCCCATGAGGTCTCTTCCAACTCTAGGATTCTATGGATTCTATGATAAGCAAAACATCCCCAACTTCTTCAGCCATTCCTCAGAGGAAGTCATGGCTTCCAAAGCTTTGGCCATTTTGGTGGCCCTTCCAGCTTGTCCTTCTCTGTCTTGGATTGCTTTGCCAATGGTGTTTCACACTGCTCATTTCTTTCTGGGCTGTAAAGGACTTTTGGCACCAAAGAAGGGTCTTGTGGGAGGCATTGGAGACCCATGGAGAATGGTGGCCCCAATCCTTTGTGATTCTCCAAGGAACCTTCCCAATGAGAGCCCTTTTGTTCTCCTCAGGCTTCCTGGAGGGAGACCAACCCAAAGGCCTCAGGCAGCAACCTCTCCTCGGGTGTAAACAAATCTGCCTTCCAGCAATGAACAACCACGGCTTCTTAATCTCTTCTCACAAAACTGGGCAAACAAGAGCTTCTTGCCTAAAATTGTTGGCCAGCCTCCACTTCATCTATTTTTTGTGTAAGAGGCAAATCTGGCTCCTTCACTCTTTGTCTAGTGAATTCTTTGCAGCTCTTGTCTGGTTTCAAGCCTAATGAATCAGCTAGTCTCACAGGTAACAGACAAACCCCTTTCTCGAAATCAGAGGGCCTTTCCAGACAGGCCGTTATCACAGGATAAAAAAATGTGGAGAGCTCTGGCAACACTGTACTGGGGGCCGGGTAAGTTTTCCTTACTTTCAAAAGGGGGTTGCGGGCTTTCGGGGAGGGGTGGCCATTCCCACAGTTTTCCAAACTAATTTAGTCTGGAAAACTATGGGAATGGTGTCTGGTTTGTGGTTAATTAATTGTGGGTTAGCTAGAATGTCATCTGGACAGAACCCTTATTATTGCGGAAATTTCCGCAATAAAGGGGCTGTCTGGATGCGCCCATAGTTAGTTGGAAGGGACCCCAAGGGCCATGTACTTCAACCCCCTTCAGCTATGAAGGCACAGCTAACCTAACACACATCTCCACAAAGAGGTCCCTCTAGCCTCTGTTTGAACGTCTCTAAGGTTAGAGTCCACCACCTCCTGCCCCAATCTCTCATTTTGTTTCTTAAATCATTCCCAGATGGATTGGAGAAGCTGAACTTTTAAACAGTGAAGAAACAGCCAGAAAAGAGAGTCAAGATCAGTTCCAGATATTTGTTTGCACACAAAGAAATGAGGGAATCGAGATCTGATATATACAGGGTGTATGAGCAGGGAACTTTAGAACTGTCTTCTTAGGATTTTGGAAAGATGGAATAAACGACTTGTTTCCAGTGATTTATCATTGTGAGCTTGCTTTTAATGCCAAGGTCTTCCAGAGTCTGACACTCTCCATTCATGCTCTCAGTCCTCTCCCATTCCACACCCTCAAGCGTCCTGGTCCCTCCTGGACCCCATCTCTGGTAGGTCCAAAGGAGGTCAAGTCTGCTCCACACTTAAAGGCAGAAACCACAGGGAGATGCAGCACAACGGTAGCCCTATTTGAGCCCTCTCACAACGTCTTACCTTGCGTCCTGGCAAGGGATGACGCCAAAGAGATTCAACCCATCTTCTGTCAAGGTGCCAGTCTGGATTCAGAGATGAGACAGATAATGGAGTCAGAAGGACCTGATCCTGAACTCAAGGGTGGACTTCTTAATGGTAAAGACTTCTTAATGGACAGGCAGGGTGCCACTGGGAAGGATGGGGAGGGAAGGAGGGCAGGTGGCTCAAAGCTAGGCAAGAATATGTAGGGAAGGGAGGAAACATTTGTGGTGCCTGGAGTTAACTTCCCTCAGAGTAAGCAGAAGCCAGATGGCTGAATGTTTGGCCATATCATGGGAAACTATGACCGCCTAGAAATGGTGATAATGCTTGCTGAAGGAGAGGGAGGAAAAGAGGAGGATCGTGTTCGAGGTGAACATGCTCGGAGCTCCTTGAGGAGACAGTGACTTGGAGGTCTCTCATCCATCAGTTAAAGTCACCTTTCAGGCAGCTAACAACAACTAGAAGACTACCAATACCTCACAGTGCTCAAAGGGGTCCTGATTCTTGCCAGTTATGTAATTCCTTTGAGCATGCAGGATTTTTCCTATATGCTAACTATGCACCCAATCCCCTACAGCAGTGATTCTTAACCTGTGGACCATGAGCCACCAGTGGACCATCCACAAAGTTCCTCCCTCTTTATTTATTTGATTCATTTTATTTCTGCTCCTTTCACATCGCCTGCCACTCCTTCCCTGTCACTGACCATGGCATCTGTTCTGTATCAGAAACTAGAGCTGATGTGGTCTATCCAATGCAATTTTCTGAATCAGCGTCCCAAATAACCAAACCGAATCTAAAGTTGACCAAAAACTGATTCGCAATTTTTTTGGTACTAATTTTGGAGTGGTCCCTGGTCAAAGTGTTCCCTGGTCAAAGTGTTCCCTGGTCAAAGTGGTCCCTGGTCAAAGTGGTCCCGGATCAAAAGAAGGTTGGGAACCACTGCCCTATAGGGAAGGCCCTTATTACCATCCTTCTATGGCAGACTGGGTGAGGGGGCCGAGATGGAGAAAGAATGGTCTTCCCAAGGAAGAGGTCAACTGAGAACCCTCTTCCCCTCTGGGCTTGTGAAGCCAAGCCTTCCTCTCCTGGCCAATCTTGTTCCCTTTCCCTCCGTTGCACCTTGTCGAAGCAGACCAGGTTGATCTGCCCGCAGACGTTGATCCTTTGGGGGCTGATGCAGAAGATCTTCCTCTTCTTGAGCCTCCGCTGGGCGTAGACAATGCCGGTGGTCAAGGCGGCTGGGAGGGCTGGAGTAACCACCGTGCTCAACAGAAGCAAGGCCATCAACGCTGTCTCTTTCACGGGTCTCTGGGAAAGACATATGGTTTACCAACCTTGTAAAACCAATGCATTCTGACGGCACTTTACCTGCCATGGCTCAGTCCAATGAAGGACCTTCCTCTTCTTCTTCTCTGTGGGGTGAGAGGGGGGACATGGGGGCTTTATGCTGGAATGGGAAGCCATTTGGGACAACATCCCTTTCAAAAGGAAGGCATGGCCTTCCAAGTGTGGATTGACTATCCATAACATTAAGAAATTGGCCCAACTGCACCTCCACCCTCCTTTGTTCTCCTTCCCTTCCTTGCTGTGTGTTTTGGAAGTCTCAGCCAGTAACAAACAAGGCTTTCTAGGATGAGAATTCCCACTGTTTTGCAATAGTCTGTTGAGATACAGTTAAAGCAAGGGCTCCCTTATAGAGTTAACAACTTTTTCAAGTTATTTCTCCAGTGAGAGTGAGGACGGGAGCAACCCACACAGCAAGACATTGCTTCGGGTAACAAACAACAGAAAGAACCCCAAGCCCCTGACTTCTTCAGAGCCTGAAACTGAATTCCAGAGGAATAAATCTGAATCCCTTCCACAGAGAGACTTGTGGCATCATCACCACTCCTTTGTTGAAACCCACCTTGTTCTCTGCATATACACAAATGGCATAGATCAGCCCCACAATGGCAACACACATCAGGCCAACAATGAAGAAGAAGGCCTCTCGGTAGATCCTGAAGTTCAGGGGCTTTGGGTAGAGGATGGACCGCACCAGGTCCCCTTTGGCAGTGTTGAAACCTGTGGGGGAACCATCAATGGATCGTGTCACTTTTCAGGGGATCAAGGATAGAACTGTCTCTCTTTAATCATATCTTGTTTTTTCTTTTCTACATTTTTTTGTCAGTATCTTTGTTTTGACATATTTACTTTAAATCCTGCAATTGTTCCAAACTCTTTTATCTTCTGCATCCATCTTAGTATGTTTTTGCTTGGGTCTTCCATTATCCCAAGTACATCGTCTGCGAAGGCTCTTATTTTATATTAGTATTTACCAACTTTAGATCCCTGTATCATTTGGTCTTCTCTTATTGCCTTCATTAATGGTTCCAATGCCATTATAAATATCAGTGGAGACAGGGGGCATCCCTGTCTAGTTCCCTTCAGTATGTCAAACTCTTCTGTTGTTTGACCATTTATTCTTAATTTAGTCTTTTGTAGATCATATATCGCATTTATTGCATTAGAAAATGTATCTCCCATGTCCAATTCTTGTATTAAAGTCTTGAAAAAAACCCAATTTAGGTTATCAAAAGCCTTCTCTGCATCCAAGGCTAGTATGGTGAATTCTTTTTGATGATTCTGTTCATAATATTCTATTAAGTCCAATACCAACCTTATATTAAAATTGTTAGAGATTCTGATGTTTGGTAAATCTGGAATTCCTCTCACCCCACTTTGAAGTTTAAAGGTAAAGGTAAAGGTTTCCCCCTGACATGAAGTCTAGTCATGTCCGACTTTGGGGTGTGGTGCTCATCTCCATTTCTATGCCGAAGAGCTGGCATTGTCTGTACACACCTCCAAGGTCATGTGGCTGGCTTGACTGCATGGAGAGCTGTTACCTTCCCATTGATCTACTCACATTTGCATGTTTTCAAACTGCTAGGTTGGCAGAAGCTGGGGCTGACAGCGGAAGCTCACACTGCTCCCCATTTTCAAACCTGCGACCTTTTGGTCAACAAGCTCAACAGCTCAGAACTTTATCCCACTGCACCACCGGGGGCTCCTCACTTTGAAGTTTCCCCTGTCTGGTTAGAACATAATAGCCCACATTTTCTTCAGAAGGTGGAGCAAAGCCCCTCACCTGTCTGCAACACGACAGCTCTGACTGGCCCTTTGCCGCTGGGCCTGGTCTGGATGACCTCTGTGCCGCAGAAGAGGACGTGGTGACGGTGGTCCTCCAGGCTGTGCTTCTTCCAGGGCTGGACATTGTCCACTTGGGGCAAAGGGGCCTTGGTCACTGGGACACTCTCACCTGCAAAAGCAGTCCAAATCTTCATTGAATCACAATGTGCTGGTTGGAATGGGGCAATCCAACCAGCACATTGGTGCATGGTGTCATGCCATCATGACACCATAGTATCATAGCTGTTAAGAGTTTTTATCATTTCTTAAGTAACAAGTAGTGTAAGAATCAGGGCAGCAAGCAATAAGAGCCAAACCACCTGGTTGGCATTGTGTAATTACAGCCAGAATGATGTAACTGCTGGGGTAATAAAGGTTGGAGTTTATTGAGGGTTGGAGTTTGCTAAGGAGTTGGAAGGTTGGATTTACTGAAGGTTGGAGTTCTGAGAGGCTTGTGTCTTAAGGAGATTGAAGGTTGTAGTATCAAGAAGAACTGGACTACAAAACCAGCCTGCTGCAAGGAAGAAGTCTCAGTTATAAGGAAGTATCAGGAAAAGAAGGCTGGAGAAGTATTCCAGTCTTCAGCCACTACAAATGGACTCTGTATATATATATTTGTATGAAGTCTGCTGCAAAGACAAAGGTATGAGTTTATTCCTTGATCAGAGGGGGGAAGTTTTCGCGGCTGTTTGTGACTACACATATCTCAAACAGGAAGCAAACACTCACTCCCAGAGAGCTTCAAAGTCACTAATTGCTGCCCTGAAACTGTCAATCAGTGCTGGCTAAAGAATTTAACCTTACCTCACCTCCCAAACAAAACAAACACTCAGAGCAGCTAGTCTTAAACACTCACTCAGATTTCTAATGCACACTAAGCCAAGGCTTACCTGAAGCAAAGGGAGCAAAGATAGCTTCTTGCTTCCTCATCTTCTGTGGGAACTCACATAAATCACCACTGACCGAAAGGTCATGAGTTTGAAGCCAGCCCGGATGGGAGTAAGCTCCCGACCATTGTCTAGCTTGCTGTTGACCTCTGTAGCCCAAAAGACAGTTAGATCTGTCAAGTAGGAAATGTAAGTACTGCTTATGTGTGGAGGCTAATTTAACTAATTTACAACACCATAAAAATCTCCAGCAGTGAGTGAAAGGATGAGGAAGTACTCCATCAAAGGACTCAGTGTCACAAATGGACGGTGAAGCAACAGCTCCTCCGGTGGCTGGAATTCAAGCATACCCTCATAAAGCTGGAATGCTAAATTGCCTCTGTTTCTGTCTATACATGTGTGTATGGCATTGAATGTTTGCCATGTATACGTGCATTTTAATCCACCCCGAGTCCCCTGTGGGGTGAGAAGGGTGGAATATAAATACGGTAAATAATAAATAAATAAATAAATAATTGCACACCTGTGAGCATGCCTTCGTCAATCACACAGCTTCCCTCCAGGAGAATGGCATCGCAGGGCAAGGAGAGCCTCTGCCCTTTCAAGAGGAGGATGTTTCCGGGAACCAAGTGGCAGGACTCCAACTGGTGTTCCCCTGCGGAAAGACCAAATCCTTGTTCGGAAAGGCTTCATGGAGGCCTGTCGGCGATCTTCCACCCACCATTGCCCTTAGATCACTGTGTGTGCCTTGGCCACTCAAAGAGAGGAACACACTGATGCATCTAAAAGTTGTGTCCTAGCCTTGGCTGTCTTCTTATGATTCGGAGGCATCAGGCTCTCCTTCTGGCAAGTCTGGTACTTAATCTGCCCGAAGAGATCAGAAACAGAGAAAGACCCGCCTTCAGAAGACCTCCTCCATGGGCTTCTGCAGAATTTGAGTTGACATGAATGGCTTCAGAAGGGCAGGAGAGGAGGGCAGAGCTGGGCAAGGTGGTGCCACACTGACCTTCGTCTTTGGTCCAGGCGGTGACATGGACCTTGTTGTGCTCCTCTACCAGGTTGTGCAATTTGATGGATTGCTGGGAGGAAGAAAAAGGAAGGGGTGAAGCTCATGAACAGCAGCCAGATTGTACGCCCTTGTAATTTTTCCAAGCAGGTGGGCAAGAGAATATCACACTCAACTTTGCCATTCAGCCCTCTTAGTGTTGCAACTCAGAGTAAGCTTCGCCTTGCTTCCAAACACCACCAAACAAGAGCTGTAACTTTATAGTTTATTGAGGAAAAGTCCAAGTCAAAATAAAGAATAAGCATTGCCAAGTTCCAAAGATTTAGGTTAAATGCAGAATATAGTTCCAAAGATCTTCAGGTAAAAACAAGAGGCACAATCCAGAGTCCAAGATACAAGCAGTAAAACAATTGCCCCATGAATCACAAAGCAAGAAATCCCAAGCGTGCTGCTTTCCAGCTAAGATTATTCCATGAAGCTTTCAGGCTAACAAGCTACGTTGAACTGACACTTTCTCTTCGTTTGTAAGAAGCCTAAATACCTTTCTAACATGAAAACATTATGCTCTCACCAACATGAAAGCATTGCGATGACCTTTCCCCGAGCTGGCTTCTCGTCTGCCGCCCAGGCGAGAACTCCACCTGATCCGCAAATCAAGATGGGCTTGCTGGGTCAGGTCACTATCAAGACTTTCTGCACTTTCACTATCAGCGTGGGAAGGAGGCAAAGGCCTCTCCACCTGTTCGCTATCTACTTCATTAAAATTTCTTTCTTCTGAGAACTGCTGTGTTGACTCTGTAATGTCTATGGGAGCCTCAGAAAAAGACCTAGAAGCAGGCCCAGAGATCTGAGGCACAGAAAAAGAGCCAGGAATCTGAATCCCATCATTATCATCAGAGAACATCTCAGCCACAACACTTAGGAGGCCAGTTGGTTGTCCTATAACAAAGGCAGCCTAGGAGGCCCAAAATACTGCCATACCTGCCGAAGGTCATAGACGGTGATCCCAATGGAGATGATGGAGAGGATAACGAGGAATGTGGCAAACTCGTAGTACCCCATGGAGAGCCAGAGCGTCAGGGAGAAGGTTTGGAAGACATAAAATGGGTTCAGGACCTGGCAAAGAGAAAGCAGAGCCCAAGGCATCAGTGGGGGGCACCCAGGCACTTCTAGGGAACCAATGAGAGGCACCAGCATGGTTTAACTGCAGAAACCTTGTTTTGTGGGAGAGACATCCTGCAGCAGATTTTGCTATAGTTTTTCAATGAATATTGAGTCTCAACCAATTCAACCTATTTTGTGACACCCACAAAAACGAAGTTTCTGAAGTTCAAGCTCAACCTGGTCTCATTTTGTTGGCATGACCCCATTGCAACCTACAAAGACTGCTCCAAGGAGCTTGGAAACTTTTGGAAGCTGAACATACTTGGAAACCTTTGGGGAACTCAATGAGAAGAGTCTAGAATGACATCCCTCAGTGTTACCTCTTTGAAAAGCAGCTTCCAGATTGGTCGGATTTCGATTTCAATGGCATTGGGTCCACACACCAACTTCCTAAGAAGGAGAGAAGGACAGAAGGGAAGCCGTTACTCTCCTTGGAAAGGGGACAACAGAACAGGAATGGGCCTCATGATTCCTCACAAGCCAGGGTTTTCTTTGGAAGTGTGATGGTGATATAACTGTTCCAATTTGGCAGCTTTCGAAGGTCACAAAGCCAGCTCAGAAAAAGGGTGATTCTCCCTTCCTTGGCTCTGAATCAACAAGTGCTTCAGGATGCAGAATTCATGGTCCTACCATAGAATCACAGACTTCTAAGGTTGGAAGGGACATCTGAGGGTCATCTAGTCCAACACTCTTCTGCTAGGCAGGAAGACACAATCAATGCACTCTTGACAGATGGCCACCCAGTCTCTGTTCAAAAACCCCCTTGTACAATATCAGCAGGTGCATAACTTTCAGGTGTATCTCATCCAATTCTCAGCCAATAACCCAGGATAGGACAGCCTTTCAAGCTCTTCAGAGCTGACATCACATTTTGTGGGGCTACATCAATATCCTTTGGGCCATTATGTTTGCCTAAGACTTTCTACTAACTCTGAGCTCATGGAGAGATTTGAGTGAGGAGTTACACAATTTCAGCCTTTTCCAAACCAATAGCTAAGCAGAAGTAGGTTAAAAAGAAAGCAAAGAGAGAGAGATTAGTTTTCAAAGGCCTTGAACCTTCTCTGCCAAAGAGGGCTGGTATCTCCCCAAACTACAGTTCCCAGGATCCCATAGCATGGAGCTGTGGCAGTTAAAGTGGGATCAAACTGTATTAATTCTACAGTGCAAATGCTCCCTGTGATGAGTGCCTACAATTTAGGCCAGGGAAAGCTCAGGAAGTAGGCCCAAGTATTTCAGCAGCCATTTTATGAGATGGTGCATGGAGGCAGCCATTTTAGAGGACCCATTTCCTAGAGGGGGTGGAGCTTAGGAGCAGCCTGGAGGAAAATGTGGAGAACCTTTGTAATTGGCTGGGAGAGAAAGTGGGCAGAGCTTAGCCTGAGTGCAGAAAAAAAATTGCATATAAGGGTGTGTTTTAAAGTCTGACAGCTCAGTGAGGGTTTGTGTGTTGAAGAAGAGAGTTGGGTTTTGGGGAGTGTTAGGAGAAGAAAAAGTCAGAGAAGCCAAGAGTTGGTCAGTTAGTTAAGATAGATGTTTGTTGATATTGTGGCCGTTCAATGCGTCATGGAGGAGGGAGAGGGTTCCGCTAACCGGGGAGCCCCCATAGAAGTCGTGGTGGGGAGGGGGAGATATGGGAAAGGGAGGCCTTCAATTCGACCTAGGGAACGGGGGTGGGGAACAACGTTAGTAATTCCAAAACGGTATCCTGATATGAGAAGTTGGTGTAACCAGGATGGCGGTCCCTCCGGATTGAAAGTGGTGCTGTTCAACGCCAGATCTGTCAATGGTAAAACAACTTTCATCCAGGATTTAATCCTGGATGAACGGGCAGATCTGGCGTGCATCACAGAGACCTGGTTGGACGAAGCGGGAGGTGTAAATTTAACCCAGCTTTGCCCACCAGGCTTCTCTGTACAGCACCAACCGCGATCCGGAGGGCGGGGAGGCGGAGTTGCAGTGGTCTATAGAGATTCCATTCTTCTGACCAGGGCCCCCATCCCACAGTCAACAAATTTTGAATGCGTCCACCTGAGGGTGGGTGACCGGGACAGATTAGGGATTCTGTTAGTGTACCGTCCACCTCGCTGCACTACAGACTCCCTGACTGAGCTAGCGGGGGTGGTCTTGGACCTGGCATTGGAGTCCTAACGGCTGCTGGTGCTGGGGGACTTCAATGTCCACGCCGAGGCTGCCCTATCGGGAGAGGCTCAGGACTTCATGTCTACCATGGCAACCATGGGGCTGTCCCAACAGGTATCTGGCCCCACCCACAGTGCTGGACATACATTGGACTTGGTTTTCTGCCAGGGATGGGAGGAAGGTGGCGGTGTTGAGGAGTTAACCATCTCTCCGTTGCCGTGGACTGACCACCACCTGGTTAGCTTTAGACTCACTGCACCCCCTAACCTCCGCAGAGGTGGAGGACCCATTAAGTTGGTCCGCCCCAGGAGGCTTATGGATCCAGATGGATTCCTGATGGCTCTTGGGGAATTTCCCGCCACCTCGGTTGGTGATCCTGTTGATGCTCTGGTCGCTCTCTGGCATGGGGAGATGACTAGGGCAATAGACACGATCGCTCCAGAACGTCCCCTCTCAAGTAGCCGAGCTAAACCAGCTCCTTGGTTTACCGAGGAGCTGGCAGCGTTGAAGCGAAAGAAGAGGGAACTAGAGAGCGTGTGGCGTTCGGATCCGAGCGAGCCAAATCGAACACGGTTTGTGTCCTTTTTAAGGGCATATGCCGCAGCAATAAAGGCCGCAAAGAAAACTTTCTTTGCGGCCACTATTGCGTCTGCGAAAAACCGTCCGGCTGAACTGTTCCGAGTTGTCAGAGGCTTATTAAAACCCACCATTCAGGATGGGTGCCCTGATGACTCGGCAGCTCGCTGCGAAGCTTTTGCTCGGTTCTTCGCAGACAAAGTCGCTTTGATCCGCTCTGGACTGGACACCATATTAACGGCAGTATCTGAGGATGTAACACGAGCATCTGCTTGTCCGGTTTTGATGGATTCATTTCAATTGGTTCAATCCGAGGATGTGGACAAGGTGCTTGGAGGAATGAGAGCTACCACATGCATCCTAGACCCCTGCCCATCCTGGCTTCTAAAGGAGGCCAGAGGGGGATTGGCCGAGTGGGTGAAGGTGGTGGTTAATGCCTCCCTTCGGGAGGGCAAAATTCCAGCCAGCTTAAAGCAAGCTGTGATAAAACCGCTGTTGAAGAAACCATCACTGGACCTCACTCAATTCGTCAACTATCGGCCTGTTTCCAATCTCCCCTTTTTGGGCAAAGTCATGGAACGTGTGGTGGCCTCACAACTCCAGGCATTCTTGGTAGACACGGATTATCTGGATCCGGCACAGTCTGGCTTTAGGCCGGGGCATGGTACCGAGACAGCCTTGGTCGCCTTAGTGGATGATCTGCGTCAGGAGCTCGACAGGGGGAGTGTGTCCCTGTTGGTGCTGCTCGACCTCTCAGCGGCCTTCGATACCGTCGACCACGGTATCCTTCTGGGACGCCTCGCGGGGATGGGGTTGGGAGGTACTGTTCTGCAGTGGCTCCACTCATTCCTCGAGGGCCGGTCTCAGAAGGTGTTACTGGGAGACTCCTGTTCAACCCCACAACCTTTGTCTTGTGGGGTTCCTCAGGGTTCAATACTGTCTCCCATGTTGTTTAACATCTACATGAAGCCGCTGGGTGAGATCATCCGGAGTTTCGGAGTGAGATGTCATCTGTACGCAGATGATGTCCAGCTCTGTCACTCCTTTCCATCTGCTACTAAGGAGGCTGTCGAGGTCCTGAACCGGTGCTTGGCCGCTGTGACGGTCTGGATGGGGGCGAACAAATTGAAATTGAATCCAGACAAGACAGAGGTACTCCTGGTTAGTCGTAAGGCCGAACAGGGTATAGGATTACAGCCTGTGTTGGATGGGGTCGCACTCCCCCTGAAGACACAGGTTCGCAGTTTGGGTGTGATCCTGGACTCATCGCTGAGCCTGGAACCCCAGGTTTCGGCGGTGACCAGGGGAGCATTCGCACAATTAAAACTTGTGCGCCAACTGCGTCCGTACCTTGGGAAGTCTGACTTAGCCACGGTAGTCCACGCTCTGGTTACATCCCGCCTTGATTACTGCAACGCTCTCTACGTGGGGTTGCCTTTGAAGACAGCCCGGAAGCTCCAACTAGTCCAACGGGCGGCAGCCATGGTACTAACAGGAGCGGGGCGCTGAGAGCATACAACTCCCTTGCTGCACCAGCTCCACTGGCTGCCGATATGCTACCGGGCTCAATTCAAAGTGCTGGTTTTGGCCTTTAAAGCCCTAAACGGTTCTGGCCCAACTTATCTATCCGAACGTATCTCAGCCTATCAGCCCACCAGGACCCTAAGATCTTCTGGAGAGTCCCTGCTCTCTATCCCACCGGCTTCCCAAGCGCGGCTGGCGGGAACGAGAGACAGGGCCTTTTCTGTGGTGGCCCCTCGGCTTTGGAACACCCTCCCTATAGAGATACGATCTGCCTCTTCGCTGATGGCTTTTCGGAAGACACTAAAAACTTGGTTGTTTAAACAAGCATTCGGTTAGTCTGTTATCACCGAACTTTGCTGACTAAGGACTGGTTAATGATGGGTGACGAATTCTGGATTGTGATTTTATTGACGAGATGCTTGGTATGATTATTGGTGGCCCAATAATTTGTATTGTTTTTGTACTGCTGTTTTAAATTGTATATTGTTTTTAACTGCTGTAAACCGCAATGAGTCGCCGTCTTAGGCTGAGATATTAGCGGTATACAAGTGTATATATATATATATATATATATATATATATATATATATATTAGGGAGAATAGCTAGTATAGAGCATAGACAGATCCAAAGGGTAAAGGACTGTCTGGAATTTTAGGAATTCTACTCAGAGGGAAGTCTGCTAGTTTTCTGAGGGAGTGAAGAGTTGTTTTTGGAACTAAGCATTGAACTGTTTTTAAAGTAACCATACACTACAACTCATTATTGCAATCTTTAAGCTTAAGTGCTTGTATGGTTGAAGTGAGTAGTTTTTGGAACTAAGCATTTAACTGTTTTCAAGTAACCATACGCTACAACTCGTTATTGCAATCGTTAAGCTTAAGTGCCTGTATGGTTGAAGTTCTCACAAATAAACAACTTTGTTCTCTGTTAAACAACAACTGTCTCAAGAGTGCCTCTATGTGAAATAGTTCCATAGCAGTTTAGAGAAACAGAATTTTAAGATTGGTGGCAGCGTTTATTTAAAGAAATCTCAGTGTTATTTACCTCAGAGTTCAGAGCCCTGAATGTGAATCCAGCACAGACCAACTTACCAAAAACCTCTTGCCAAACCAGAAGCTAAACATTCCTTTTAAGTGTGGTGGTAGCCAGTGATCACAGAAAGTTACCTCAGAATATAGTGGGTTGGGGGCAAAGTTTCAGCAGCCTCCAAACACTTTTTTGAATTTATGTAATAATCCTTTACAATTGGTGATACAGCATTGGGATTGTTTGAATAAATCCCCATTCTCATTATATATTTGGTGGCAGCGGTGGGATGAATAAAAGCCCCCCTGCCAGAAAGTCATTTGAGTTTGGAGTCAGCCTCTAAGTTAATTAATCGATCATTATTTATATAAACAACATGGTTCCTTTACACTCCCAATGGTCACACCTGAGTTCTCGTTGACTCCCGGTCAGCCCATCTCCAAATTTCTGGTGTATCTGATAGCAAGTGTTGCTGTCCTCAAGTGATCTGGAAAAACGGGAGAAAGGGCACAGAATGAAGTCAGGTGATACTTCAGATAAAGATTATTTGTTTTTGTGCTTATTTAGCCTCAAACTCACCCAACTCTGATGAAGGCTTTTCCAGGAACATCCCAGATGTAGCGGAGTTTTTGCGCTTGGATGTACCTCACCTGCGAGACACATCGCAAACACATTGGGAACACATAAGGGTGTATCGACATTGGCAAATTAATGCCAGTGCTACCCTCAGGTGTGCATTAACAGCAGTCCTTCTTGCCAATCTGCCATAGAATGAAGGCAGAGTGACACATCTTTAACTGCTATGGCTCAATGCAATGAAATCCTTGGAGTTGTAGTTTCACAAGGTATCAAGGCTTTTTGCAAAAGGAATGTGATTTCAGCTTCTGCAAGAACCATGGGTTTGGGACCTGGTGTGCCAAGCTTCCAAAGGATCAGATAAGACATGAATAGGCTGAAGGCAAAATCAGAGGCCTTATTCTCAATGGCCAGAGACAGGCCCATAGCCAGAATTTTGATTCGGGGGGGGGGGGGGGCTGAGTCTGAGTGAAAGAGGGTCTACCCTAGCAAACCTTTTGTATCGTTACCCCAATACCCCCATGCATATGGGATATATTGAATATAGTGATCAAATCATGATAGGAATAAACATAACAGTTTAAATAATGCACCAGTAAGGCCTTCTCGCAGACCACCATCAGAATTTCGGGCTACATGCCTGGCCAGGGAGGATGTCAGTGGAGAACTGACGTACCGGAATGTAAATTTATTTATTTGTTGTGTCAGGGCAAGCAGTCAATTGTATTACATTTCTAACAGAACAAAACAAAACAAACAGACAAAATACAAAATTTGTGAGTTTGGTAGTTGATTAGATGTCCTTTGACCAGTATCTGGCCCCTTGGAGTGCCTCTGGTGTTGCCGCAAGGAGGTCCTCCCTTGTGCATGTGGAAGAAGGGCTCAGGGTGCATTGCAACAGGTGGTCAGTGGTTTGCTCCTCTCCACATTCGCATGTCGTGGATTCCACTTTGTGGCCCCATTTCTTAAGGTTGGCTCTGCATCTCGTGGGGCCAGAGCGCAGTCTGTTCAGCACCTTCCAAGTCGCCCAGTCCTCTGTGTGCCCAGGGGGAGTCTCTCATTTGGTATCAGCCATTGGTTGAGGTGCTGGGTTTGAGCCTGCCACTTTTGGACTCTCGCTTGCTGAGGTGTTCCAGCGAGTGTCTCTGTAGATCTTAGAAAACTATTTCTAGATTTAAGTGGTTGGTAGCATAGGTAAATAGTAGGCCTGGGTAACAACGGAAAAATTTGTTTCTAAAATCGATTTGTATTTGGGGTTTTTTTTGTTTCGATATTTAAAATAATTACAAAATTTTCCTTTTAAAAAGTTCGATATTTACGAAATTTCGTAAATGGTAAAAAATTAACGAATCGATTTCCGAAACAATAACGAATCGATTCGTTAATGGCGGACGCGACCGCGAAATACGCTAAAAAACCTCCAAAACCTTCTGAAGCTTCCCTCTCCCTCTGTTGTTGACTGTTGGTGTGATATTATAATTTTTTCACTAATTAAACCATAAAACTGGCCCAGACATGCGGAAATAATAACGAAACGACCTCAAAACAATAACGAAACGAATACAATATCGAAATACGAAGCATTTACAAAACTTTTGAAAATTCGTTTTTTAAATAATTGCTCCAGAATGGTTCGTTATCGTTTTGTAATTGAAAAAATTAACGAATTATTAACGAATTACGAATTAACGAAACGAAACCGCCCAGCCCTACTAAATAGGGGTTGGCTATCCAGAAGGGACAAAGTGTTTCATCTATGCTGATGATCCGCCGGGAAGTAGCAGCCAATAGTGAAAGGACCAAAGCAGTGACATCGTGGTAAATACAGAACATATTTATTACATTTCAAAGCTATTCACGTCTACCACACGTGCTCCTGATTGGTCCAGAAAGTGTCCAGTTAGGATCCGCTCCATGGCTGGTCCAGGATTTCCTCCAATGTCATCGCTGGTTGTTGTGGCAGGATAATTTATTAAACTGTCATTGGATTATTTTGAAGAGTTTGTCTGTTTATTGATCCGCCCACGAGAAGAGTGCAATCAGAAAGGAATGTGGTGGAACAATTGACATTATGTAACACATTTTTTTTTGTTCCTGGGTGATAAATGTCATTTCCTAATTGGTTCTATCATAAGAACATGGAAAAGGTTTATTAAACTGCAAAAACTATGTTTCTGTGGGAGGGACATCCTGCAGCACATTTTACTCTAGTTTTTCAATAAATATATTGAGTCATTGAGTTTCAACCAATTCAACCTAGTTAGTAGCAGCCACAGAAACCAAGTCTCTGGAGTAAAACAACTACTTTCAAACCAAGTACTGCACAATTAAACAGGAAATCACTCTTTCAAACTAAGAACAGATCCCCCTCCTCAAGTTTTGTAACATAATGCAAAAGGCTTAGTATTCTAGGTACAGTTGATTCAGTGGTGTTACTCCAGGTAAACAGAGGGTGCTTAAGAAAATGGCCACCTCAGTGGGTGCCGCAAAGATGGGTGTAGCTTGGGAGAAGAAACATTCCCACAGATAATGCAGATCGTATCAGGTGAAACCAGAAAAAAGGGCCCAGGAGCTCTGAGGCAAGATCATTGTGCGCTCCCCTTGAGTCTCCCCGTTCATTGTGAAAGGATTACCATGATTCGAGGAATTGTTTCTAGAGTTCAGGGTGTGTTGGGCAACAGTCCAAGGTGATTCATGAGAGGTGATTCGAGGTCAAAATGGGAAAGGCAAGGTGAGCATGCCACATGTCCCCATGGAGCCACGCCTTGTAATTTTGAGGTCTAATTTCTTGACAACAACACAAAACTCCCAGGTTTTCATAGAATTGATATAAGAAGTTGTTGAAGGCTTTCATGGCTGGAACCACTGGGTTGTTGTAGGTTTTTTTGGGCTATATGGCCATGTTCTAGAGGCATTTCTCCTGACGTTTCGCCTGCATCTATGGCAAGCATCCTCAGAGATAGTGAGGTCTGTTGGAAGTAGGAAAATGGGTTTATATATCTGTGGAATGAGCAGGGTGGGACAAAGGAGTCTTGTCTGCTGGAGCTAGGTGTGAATGTTTCAACTGACCACCTTGATTAGTATTTGATGACCTGGCAGTTGTTTGGTGTGGCTTGTTAGTGCCTGGGGCAATCTTTTGTTGAGAGGTGATTATCTGTCCCTGATTGTTTCCTCTCTGTTGCTTTGCCCAAAAAACCCTACAACAACCCAGATATAAGAAGTGTTTTCCTTTGTGGCTGAAGGAAGCTGGACTGGATGGCCCTTGGGGTCCCTTCCAAAATTAGGATTCTGTGGTTCCATGTTCCCAGGTCAACCAGCCAAAGAAATGGTTACATGGTGGAGGCTCCTTCTTTGGAAGCTTTGAAACAGAGGCTGGATGGCCATCTGTCAGGGGTGCTTCGAATGCAATTTTCATTCTTCTAGGCAGGGGGTTGGACTGGATGGCCCACGAGGTCTCTTCCAACTCTAGGATTCTATGATTCTATACAGAGTCCGAAGCTAACAGAGATCCATTCAAACAAGCAAATGAATATGTTCTGTATGGTTGCATGGACATCGGATATGGATCACCATTAGGTATTGCTCATGCACACTTTGAGTAGCTTTTCTAAACAATACTGAAGGTTGGGAGGACTTTTCTCTATCTTGGCCAGGACTGTGAGGAGCTTGGGCTGAAGGTGGGGCTGGACTTGGTAGTCCTTTGGGTCAAAAATACTGTCATTTGAGTTTGCCTTCCTGTTCAGATTCAGGCTCATTCTTGGGAGGATATATAATAGGGCTGATAGCTCAATCTCACCCTACAGCAGAACTTTATATGGATACCGAAAGTCATGGCTGATAGCAAATCCTATTGTAAGGAAAGTCATCTGATCCAAGAAGACTTTGAGAGCTGCACTGGAGGACTTAGAAAGCTGCTAGAGGTGACATATATTGTCATTTGTAGATGAATGAAACCATGGATCCTCCTCCTGTAGATACAAGGATGGTCTGGCATTCCAGCATTTTCAAAGGCAGGAGCCCTTGACTATCTATCTATCTATCTATCTATCTATCTATCTATCTATCTATCTATCTATCTATCTATCTATCTATCTATCTATCTATCTATCTATCATGTCAGGGGCAACCAGTCAATTGTATTACATTTCTAACAGAACAAAACAGACAAACAAACAAACAGACAGACAAAACACAAAATTTGGTTGTTGATTAGATGTCCTTTGACCAGTATCTGGCCCCTTGGAGTGCCTCTGGTGTTGCCGCAAGAAGGTCCTCCATGGTGCATGTGGCAGGGCTCAGGGTGCATTGCAGCAGGTGGTCAGTGGTTTGCTCTTCTCCGCACTCGCATGTCGTGGATTCCACTTTGTGGCCCCATTTCTTGAGGTTGGTTCTGCACCTCGTGGTGCCAGAGCGCAGTCTGTTCAATGCCTTCCAAGTCGCCCAGTCCTCTGTGTGCCCAGGAGGGAGTCTCTCATTGGATATCAGCCATTGGTTGAGGCTCTGGGTTTGAGCCTGCCACTTTTGGACTCTCGCTTGCTGAGGTGTTCCAGCGAGTGTCTCTGTAGATCTTAGAAAACTATTTCTTGATTTAAGTCATTGACATGCTGGCTGATACCCAAACAAGGGGTGAGCTCAACATCTACACAAATGACCAGCCACTGCCGGAAGGGACAGAGAGTTTCATCTATGCTGATGATCATGCCATTACTGCTCAAGCAGGGAGCTTTGAGATGGTAGAACAGAAGCTCTCCGAAGCTCTAGGTGATCTTACCATCTATTACAGGGAAAACCAGTTGATCCCTAATCCATCTAAAACACAGACATGTGCTTTTCATCTCAAGAACAGACACGCATCCCGAGCTCTGAGAATGACCTGGGAAGGAATCCCACGGGAGCATTGCAGCGCACCCAAATCCCTGGGAGTCACTCTGGACCGTGTGCTGGCCTACAAGAAGCACTGCCTGAACATCAAGCAAAAAGTGGGTGCTAGAAACAATATCATATAAAAGCTGACTGGCACAACCTGGGGATTGCAAGCAGACACAGTGAAGACATCTGCCCTTGCATTATGCTACTCTGCTGCCCAGTGTGGAACACATCTCACCATGCTAAAACATTGGATGTGGCTCTTAATGAGACATGCGGCATTATCACGAGGTGTCTGCGCCCTACACCACTGGAGAGATTACACTGCCTAGCCGGGATTGCACCACCTGACATCCGCTGGGAAGTGGCAGCCAAGAGTGAAAGGACCAAGGCAGTAACATCTCCAGCCCTTGACTGGGAAGTAGGAATGAACCATAATTTTCTCCAGATCCTTCCCTCCATTGTTTAGTATTAATGCCTTGATTGCAAGAAACACTTACTTTGTCTCCAGGCCTGGTGATGGCTCTGTTGATGACAGATTCCTGGTCTTCGTTGAAGAGCTGCTCTGGTTTTTCACTTTCCAGGAGATGCTTCAGGTTGAGGGAGATCACCTTCTTCCTCTTGTATCTCTGGAATTCATCCTTAGGGGAGAAAGGCAGAAAGAAGGGGTGAACTGTCTTGGAGGGAAGCTTTTGAAGAACATCAAGCTCTTGCTAGAACAGGAGTGATATAACTCTAGGAGTCACCTTCTTCCTCTTGTATCTCTGGAACTCATCCTCAGGGGAGAAAGGCAGAAAGGAAGGATGGAATCTCTTGGAGGGAAGCTTTCAGAGAACATCATGCTCTTGCTAGAGTAGGACATGATCTTGAGCAGAGTCATACATGCAACCTTCAGGGAAGCTGGGTACATTGCTAAGACCTCAATATGGATAAGAACCCTCCTTAGTGGAGGTGGACACTAAGTGGACAATGTCATCTGTGCACATTCAAAAGAAGACCTACAGGCCACTCTAAACACTTTCAGCAGACTGAAATCCCAAACCAAGGTTACAACAACATCTGTTATAGAACTCCAATATGCTGATGACAATGTCATCTGTGCGCATTCAGAAGAAGACCTACAAGCCACTCTAAGCACCTTCTCAGAAGCATACGAGAAGCTCGGCCTGTCATTGAACATCGAGAAAACCAAAGGGCTCTTCCATCAGTCACCAGCCAATCCCTCTCCAATGCCAAAAATACAGCGGAGGTAGCTGGAGCTGGAAATTTCATAAATTCACTTGAGCTACACTTGGGCTACAGCATCCATGGATACAAACATATACGAGTGCCAAATCCAAAGAGACTTACTGTTGCCCGTAACAATACAATATCGGCCTCCTCCAGGTTGCAGGGAATGCAGTTGGCCCAGACATCCCAGTTTGGCTTCCAGTAGAAGAGGAGCAGAAGGGCTCCGCAGGAGAAGAGGTAGCCAGCAATGCAAAGGGCCCTCCGGAAGACCTGGGTCCTGTAGCCAAATATCTCCTAAATGGGATTAGAAATCAATGATCAATCATTCATTGGAAGGGAACCTCAAAGGCCATGCAGTCTTCTTCCCTTCTGTCATGGAAGAAAGATCAACCCAAGCCCTCCTGACAGATGGCCCTTCAGCCTTTGCTTAAAAGCCTCCAGAGAAGAAAGGAGACTCCTCAAGGATCCCGGTCTGACCAAAGCAGAAGAGAGTGAGTCCATGAATTTCCTTGATCCAGATGAGATACATATGTTGTTGAGTGTGGACTCTGCCCACCCCCGCCCCGCCCCCTAGGATTGAAATATTATGTTAATAATTTTGGCACCACAGCGGAGATTATTCAGCAGACTGAAAGCCAAAACTAAGGTTACAACAACATCTGTTATAGAACTCCAATATGCTGATGACAATATCAACTGTGCGCATTCAGAAGACGACCTACAAGCCACTCTAAACACCTTCACAGAAGCATACGGGAAGCTCAGCCTGTCATTAAACATCAGGAAAACCAAAGTGCTCTTCCAGCAGTCACCAGCCAATCCCTCTCCAATGCCAGAAATACAACTTAATGGTGTAACATTAGAAAATGTTGACCACTTCCACTCCCTTGGCAGCCACCTATCCACCAAAAGTCAACTGAAATACAACACCGCCTGAGCTCTGCAAGTGCAGTATTTTTCCAAATGAACCAGAGAGTGATTGAGGACTGGGACATCCGTAGGGATACCAAGGTGTTTGTTTATAAAGCTATTCCCCTCCCAACCCTGCTATATGCCTGCGAGTCATGGACTATCTACAGACGTCACATGCAACTCCTAGAACGATTCCATCAGCGCTGCCTCTGGAAAATCCAGCAGATCTCTTGAGAAGACCAGAGGACAAATGTTAGCATGCTGGAAGAAGCAAAGACCACCAGCATTGAAGCAATGGTCCTCTGCCATCAACTCCGCTGCACCAGCCACGTTGTCCGGATGGCCGACCACCGTCTCCCAAAGCAATTGCTCTACTTCGAACTCAAGGAAAGGAGGGAGGAAGAGAAGGATGGATGGAAGGAAGGGGAAGGAAGGATGAACAAAAGGGGAAGGAAGGGAAAAAGAAGGAAGGAAGAGGGAAGGAAGGAAGGAAGGAAGGAAGGAAGGAAGGAAGGAAGGAAGGAAGGAGAGAGGAAAGAGGGGAGGCAGGAAGAATGAAAGAGTAGAAGGGGAGGGAGGGATAAAGAGGGAAGGAGGGAGGGAAGGAAGGAAGGAAAGAAGGGAGAGGAAAGAAGGGAGGGAAGGAGAAAAGGAAGGGAGGGAGGGAGAAAGGGAAGGAAGGAAGGAGAGGAAAGAGGGGAGGCAGGAAGGATGAAAGAGTAGAAGGGGAGGGAGGGAGAAAGAGGGAAGGAGGGAGGGAAGGAAAGAAGGAAGGAAAGAAGGAAAGAGAGAGGAAAGAGGGGAGGCAGGAAGAATGAAAGAGTAGAAGGAAAGGGAGGGAGAAAGAGGGAAGGAGGGAGGGAAGGAAAGAAGGAAGGAAAGAAGGAAGGAGAGAGGAAAGAGGGGAGGCAGGAAGGATGAAAGAGTAGAAGGGGAGGGAAGGAGAAAGAGGGAAGGAAGGAAAACGGAATGTTGGTGGATAGGAAAAGAGATTGAAAGATGGGCTCAAAGCCAACCTTAAAATCTCTGGCATAGTCACTGAGAACTGGGAAGCCCTGGCTCTTGAGCACTCCAGCTGGAGGTCAGCTGTGACCAGCAGTGCTGCAGAATTTGAAGAGGCACAAATGGAGGGTGAAAGAGAGAAAAGTGCAAAGAAGAAGGCACGTCAAGCCAACTGGGACCACCTTCCACCTGGAAACCGATGCCCTCACTGTGGGAGAACATGTGGTTCAAGAAAAGGGCTCCACAGTCACCTAACGGACCCATCCTGGAGGATTATCCTACTCGGACAACGAGGGATCACCTAAGTAAATAAGTAAGTAAGTCCATTAGATCTCCATCTGAGATGCCTTTGCTCTGTTTTCAGGGACATTGGGTCTCAAATATTATTATTACTATTAATTGTTTAATGCCACTATTCTTTACAAGGTGAACCATAGTCCTAGAGATTCAGAAAATATCCGTTCTGGAAAATGAATCATGAGAATGAATTGCGTCGCCTCTGAAGTCTCCTGCTGCAAGCCCCTCCCTTTGTGTATTAATGCAAAGTACTCTACACATGTGAAGAAGGCTTCAGGCAGTCTTTCTTAATCTTCCTTAATAGCTTCTACGAAAACCTTAATCTTACTTAAGATCAACAACGTTCGAAACCGAAGGATGAAACCGAAGAAGAGGCGTAGGCGAAGGTGCGAAGCAACATAAAGTTAATTAAGACTTTAAAAGGACGGGTAGGAAGAGAATGTGTTTGGAGAAGGTTGTGACATCCAGATTTTGAAACTTAGAGAGAGTAATTCTGGAGCGTAACTGTCTCATTCCTCTTGCAAAACAGCAGAGAAGATTTCCTCGAGTTTATCTACTACATTTTAATGTGATGCATTTTCACCCCACTCTAACAACCAAGACTCAATGTGTGGAATAATGGGAGGTGCGGTCAGGGGCGGTCAGGGGCGGCTCAACCCATTACGCAAAGTAAGCATTTGCAGTATAGTTGATTTTGCCCAGGGGCGCTCTTGGGGAAAAATAGACCTTGACATATGCGAGTTGTAGTTACTGGGATGTATAGTTCACCTACAATCAAAGAGCACTGGCTGCCAGTTTGCTACCGGGAACAAAACAAAGTGCTGGCTTTGGCCTATAAAGCCCTAAACAGCCCCGGCCCAAATTACCTGTCCGAATGCATCTCCCCCTATGAACCATCACAGAGACTAATCTTTCCAGGAAGGCCCTGCTTTCCGTCCCGCTATTGTCACAGGCACAACTGGTGGGGACAAGAGACAGAGCCTTCTCGGTGATTGCTCCCAGGCTACGGAACTCCCTTCCTGGTGAGATCAGGTCGGCCCTCTCCCTCCTGTCCTTCGGAAGGATGGTCAAAACTTGGCTGTGAGACCAAGCTTTTGGGACAGGGCAATGAAGCGACAATGGGAAAGATGACAGGGCCAATTGGATTTGACACGGATGACTTGGACGGTTTTAAATGGTGTATTTTAATATTTTGATAAATGTTTTTTATTTTTAAATGTTCCTGGACCATCTCAACAGCATCCACCCAAACATCCAGTTCACCATGGAAAAAGAAAATGAAGGAAGTCTGCCTTTCCCAGATGTCCTAGTCATCCGCAAACCAGATCAACAATTGGGTCACACCGTCTACAGAAAACCCACACACACAGATAGATATCTACATAAAGACTCCAAACATCACCCAAGTCAAAAAAGAAGCCCCATTAAAGCCTTGGCAGACCGTGCAAAAAGAATCTGTGAAGCCCACCTCCTTCAAGATGAACTGAACCACCTCAACTGGGCTCTCCAGGCCAAGGGATACTCCACCTCAGACATCAGAAGAGCTGCAAGACCACCGAGAAGAAGCCACGAGAGTTAAGACAAAGACCCACCCAGAGGGAAATGTATGTTCCTGCCATACATCAAGGGAACCACTGACCACACAGGGAAGCTGAGGAGGAAACACAACATACAAACAATCTACAAACCCACCAAGAAAATCCAACAAATGCTCCGTTCAGCAAAGGACAAGAGGGATCCTCTCACTTCTGCAGGAGTCTACCGTGTACCATGCAGCTGTGGACAAGTCTACATAGGGACCACCAAACGCAGCCGCATTGCCCAGACACGCATCAAGGAACATGAAAGGCACTGCAGACTACTTCAACCAGAGAAGTCAGCCATAGCAGAGCACCGGATGAACCAGCCTGGACACAGCATATCATTGGAGAACACAGAAATGCTGGACCACTCCAACAACCACCATGTCAGACTACACAGAGAAGCCATTGAAATCCACAAGAAGCAGGTGGACAATGTCAACAGAAAGGAAGAGCCCATGAAAATGAACAAAATCTGGCTACCCGTATTAAAAAACTCTAAAATTACAACAGCAAAACAGCAGAGAGGAAACAACCAGGCACCTCTTAACACCTCTCAACAAAAGATTCCCCCAGGCTCAGACAGGCCTTCAAATGATAATGAAGGTGGTCAGTTGAAACATTGACACCTAGCTCCAGCAGAGAAGCGTTCTTTGTCCTACCCTGGTCCTTCCACAGATATATAAACCCTTTTTCCTAGTTCCAGCAGACCTCACTACCTCTGAGGATGCTTGCCATAGATGCAGGCGAAACGTCAGGAGAGAATGCCTCTAGAACATGGCCCTAGAGCCCGAAAAAACCCACAAGAACCTAATGTTTTTTAATGTTTATGTATTGTATTGTTAAGACTTACACATCTTTATTTCCTACTTTGCTTTCACTATATTGTTCCACCTTATGTATTATATAGCATTTCTTTTGTGGTTAATAATTTTTTTTAAAACAAAGTTTATGTGTTGTTGTTGTTCATTTGTTCAGTTGTCTCCGACTCTTCGTGACCTCATGGACCAGCCCACGCCAGAGCTCCCTGTCAGCCGTCACCACCCCCAGCTCCTTCAAGGTCAGTCCAGTCACTTCAATACAATACAATGTTTATGTGTTGTATGTGAATTTGTGTCCCGGCACTGAATGTTTGCCGTATATATGCTGTTCTCCACTCGGGGTGAGAAGGGTGGAATAGAAATGTTTTAAATAAATAAATAAACAAATCCCCTTTCCATCTCATTCTTCCACTTTTTCAAACACCCCTTCCCATTCTTTCCCACCCCCTTCCCAAGTCAGTCTTTCCCACTTTTCTCATTCATATATACACAGCATTTCCCCAAAAATATATACTGTAGTTAAAATAAACGATGGTGATTAATGTATTCTCGAAGGCTTTAATGGCCGGAATCACTGGGTTGTTGTATAATGCCAGTTCCTTAGAACCATAGAATCAAAGAGTTGGAAGAGACCTCCTGGGCCATCCAGTCCAACCCCATTCTGCCAAGAAGCAGGAATATTGCATTCAAAGCACCCCTGACAGATGGCCATCCAGCCTCCATTTCAAAGCCTCCATAGAAGGAGCCTCCACCACACTCCGAGGCAGAGAGTTCCACTGCTGAACAGTTCTCACAGTCAGGAGGTTCTTCCTCATGTTCAGGTGGAATCTCCTCTCTTGTAGTTTGAAGCCATTGCGTCCTAGTCTCCAGGGAAGCAGAAAACAAGCTTGCTCCCTCCTCCCCATGACTTCCTCTCATATATTTATACATGGCTATCATGTCCCTTCTCAGCCTTCTCCTCTCTTCTAAACATGCCCAGCTCCTTAAGCCGCTTCTCATAGGGCTTGTTCTCCAGACCCTTGATCATTTTAGTCGCCCTCTTCCTCTGGACACATTCCAGCTTGTCAATATCTCTCTTCATTTGTGGTGCCCAGCATTGGACACAATATTCCAGGTGTGGTCTAACCAAGGCGGAATAGAGCATGGGGAGCATGACTTCCCTAGATCTAGACACTACGCTCCTACTGATGCAGGCCAAAATCCCATTGATCAACACCAGCAGGAAAGAACTTTCTGAGTTACCAACAGATTTGGTCCCTAAAGTCCATTTCCATCCTCCGGTTTCCATCTTCCATTTGCCAATCCATTTGCATGTGGGTAAGGGTGCATCTGCACTATAGATTTAATGCAGTTCAACAGCACTTGGACTGCTTTGGCTTGATGCTACGGAATCCCAGGAGTTGCAGTTTTGCAAGGTCTTGAGCCTTCTCTGTACTTCATGGAACTAAAAGTCTGCAGCATTGAGGCATGGCATTTAAAATGGTGTCAAACTGTATTGTCGAAGGCTTTCATGGCTGGAATCACTGGGTTGTTGTAGGTTTTTTTGGGCTATATGGCCATGTTCTAGAGGCATTCTCTCCTGACGTTTCGCCTGCATCTATGGCAAGCATCCTCAGAGGTAGTGAGGATGCTTGCCATAGATGCAGGCGAAACGTCAGGAGAGAATGCCTCTAGAACATGGCCATATAGCCCAAAAAAACCTACAACAACCTGGTGTCAAACTGCATTAAATATACAGTGCGGATGAACCCCAAATCTCCCTCCTGCAAGAGCCGAAGCCACAAGCAAAACAAGTGTTTAGAAAAGCCTGGGAATCTCCTTCATTTGGGAAGAAGGTGCCAGAGAGCTGTTCTTACCATCTCCTCCTCGGTCCCTTGGCCAAGCAGGGCATGGTGCCGGTCCAGCAAAGGCTTCCCTCCCATCCAGATTGACAGCTGTCACTCACTCTGGAAGGCTCTCTCTGCATCTGCAACGGACCTGAACTCAAGGCTGCAATGACCTGCCTCATTGCCAAGTCTGGCTGCCTTTAAAGACCAAGGCACACGCCTTTCCCCACAGAACCCACGGTTGAGAAACTTGTTTATTATTTATTTATCTATCTATCTATCGTATTTGTACTCCGCCCTCCTCACTCCGAAGGGGACTCAGAGAAGCCTTACTATAGGTAGCAATTCGGTGCCTTGTCAAGCAACACATTATTAAAAATACCATATAGATTAAGAACATAAAATTTTAAAACAATATAAACATTAAAACCAATTATTAAAACCACACAATCCATAGTCGTGGTCAAGGGCATTCCAGTCACAACTGCACATATTCCATCTTCTCTTAGAATCACAGAATCCTAGAGTTGGAAGAGACCTCGTGGGCCATCCAGTCCAACCCCATTCTGCCAAGAAGCAGGAAAATTGCATTCAAATCACCCCTGACAGATGGCCATCCAGCCTCTGTTTCAAAGCCTCCAAAGAAGGAGCCTCCACCACCCTCCGGGGCAGAGAGTTCCACTGCTGAACGGCTCTCACAGTCAGGAAGTTCTTCCTCATGTTCAGATGGAATCTCCTCTCTTGTAGTTTGAAGCCATTGTTCCACTGCATCCTAGTCTCCAGGGAAGCAGAAAGGAAGCTTGCTCCCTCCTCCCTATGACTTCCTCTCACATATTTATACATGGCTATTGTGCTGTCACGCGCTGGGCCTGTGAAAGAGTTTGTAGACAGGACGTGTTTTCTGAATGCCCAACGGGATGCCGGGGGTGCCTCGGCTGAGAGGCCTTTCGGATTTCCCAAAACAAAGTTCTTTTAAAGACTTTATAGGAGCCTAGTGTCTAGATCTAGGGAAGTCCTGCTCCCCATGCTCTATTCCGCTTTGGTTAGACCACTTTACCTGGAATATTGTGTCCAATTCAGGGCACCACAATTCAAGAGAGATATTGACAAGCTGGAATGTGTCCAGAGGAGGACGACTCAAATGATCAAGGGTCTGGAGAACAAGCCCTATGAGGAGCGGCTTAAGGAGCTGGGCATGTTTAGCCTGAAGAAGAGAAGGATGAGAGGAGACACGATAGCCATGTATAAATATGTGAGGGGAAGCTACAGGGAGGAGGAGGGAGCAGGCTTGTTTTCTGCTGCCCTGGAGACTAGGATGCAATGGAACAAATGCTTCAAACTACAAGAGAGGAGATTCCATCTGAACACGAGGAAGAACTTCCTGACAGTGAGAGCTGTTCACCCCCTTCTTTGGATGCTTTTAAACAGAGGCTGGATGGCCATCTGTCAGGGGTGATTTGAATGCAATATTCCTGCTTCTTGGCAGAATGGGGTTGGACTGGATGATGGCCCAGGAGGTCTCTTCCAACTCTTTGATTCTATGATCTATGACCTTGTCGAAGGTCTTCCTGAAAACCACATACACTACATCCAAGGCATCCCCTGCATCTACCCAGCTTATTACATTGCATTTCTACCCAAAGGCCTGGTCCCAGAGCCATGTCTTCAATGTCTTTCTAAAGGTCAAGAGAGAGGAGGCTGACCTGATTTCACTGGAGAGGGAGTTCCATAGGTGAGGGGCCACCACTGAGAAGGCCCTGTGTCTTGCTCCCACTAATTGCACCTGTGAAGGAGTTGGGACCGAGAGCAGGGCCTCCCCAGACTATCTTAATCTCCGAGATGGTTCATAGAGGGAGATACATTCAGACAGAGAAGCTGGGCCAGAACCATTGAGGGCTTTATGGGCTAAAGCCAGCATTTTAAATTGTGCTCAGTAGCAGATGGGTAAACCAGTGGAGCTGACCTAACAGGTGGGTTGTATGCTCCCTGTTGCTGCTCAGGTGAGCAGCCTAGCTGCTGTCCATTGGATCACTTGAAGCTTCTGAATAGTCTTCAAAGGCAACCCCATGTATGGTGTGTTGCAGTAGTCTACTCGGGATGTCTTTGGGTCTTCGGAAGACAGGCGGACAAACATCAGCATCCTGGAAGAAGCAAAGACCACCAGCATTGAAGCAATGGTCCTCCGCCATCAACTCCGCTGGACCGGCCCCGTTGTCCGGATGCCTGACCACCGTCTCTACTCCGGACTCAAGAATGGAAAATGGAATGTTGGTGTGCAGGAAAAGAGATTTAAAGATGGGCTCAACCTTAAAAACTGTGCCAACCTTAAAAACTGTGGCATAGACACTGAGAACTGGGAAGCCCTGGCCCTTGAGTGCTCCAGCTGGAGGTCAGCTGTGACCAGCAGTGCTGCAGAACTTGAAGAGGCACGAATAGAGGGCGAAAGAGAGAAAGGTGCCAAGAGGAAGGTGCGTCAAGCCAACCCCGACCGAGACCGCCTCCCACCTGGAAACCAATGCCCTCACCGCGGAAGAAGATGCAGGTCAAGGATAGGGCTCCACAGCCACCTACGAACCCACCCCCAGGACACTGAACTTGGGGTACCATCATCCTCGGACTACGAGGGATCGCCTAAGTAAGTAACTTGGGATGTAACAATAGCGTGGACTACCGTGGCCAAGTCTGCCTTCTACAGACAACTGTTGCAGTGCCAAACAATTCATCTGATCATTTTGGTCAGTTTTTCAGTATGCAACATTTCATCCCTGGCATCTCTGGCCAAAGGATTTGCAACAACAGATTTCTAGAAGAGACTCTGAGTGCGGTGGAGGCTCCTTCTTTGGAGGCTTTCTAACAGAGGCTGGATGGCCATCTGTCGGGGTGCTTTGAATGTGATTTTCCTGCTTCTTGGCTGAATGGGGTTGGACTGGATGGCCTATGAGGTCTCTTCCAACTCTTGGATTCTATGGAGGGCTGCTTAGGAGGCACCTGGCCCATGGATCATAGAGAATGGGCTTCTCCTCCCTTGAGGTCTCCTCAGCCCACATCTGGCTTGAAGCCTTCAGGCAAGCAAACCAAGGAGAAATCAGCTTCCCTTCTGCTAGTTTCACCTCTATGCAAAACCCAAGGAAGATGTGTGGGCTCACCTCACTCCCAAAAGTGTGAGTCACGTTGGCTTGTTTTCGGAGCTTCGGGTGGGGCCTTGCCTGAACCTTAAGCAGAGATTGGCACTGTAAGACTGAAGGAGAACGCATCAAAGGTAGCGGTGTTTTCTCTCATCTTCCTTTCTGGCCTCACCCTCATGTTTACTATTTAGCAACCTACAAAACTGAAAGGCAACCTTGAGCAGGTAAGAGAGCTTGTTCCTTCCTGCCCTGCAGCACAATCCAAAGAAGGTGGAGGGTTCGGATATTTATCCTTTCAGATCTGCAGCACTGCATTGGAAAGTTACCAGTTCTGACACCCAAGAGAGCCAAGCGTGTGCTGACTTTCCTTGTTTGTGGGTCACAGCAATGACACAAAGGTGCCAACCAACTAACATCTGGCCCAGCAGGAAAGGCAGTAATTTACAACCTCCCCGGCAAAGGAAGTTGAGCACTTTCTAGGCAGGGAATTCCCCGAAGGACACCTCCACGTGCAAATCCTCCCCAAGAAAAACTCCCTCGTGCCTCCCTTGTGGAAGTTCTGGGAGGATTCAAGTTGCACAAAAAAATCCTGATGTTAAGAGCTGTCCAAGGTGGAACAATCTGCCTGGAAATCCAGCAGAAGCTCCTTCTTTGGAGGCTTTTAAACAGAGGCTAGATTTATTTATTTAGTTATTTATTATTCGAACTTCTATGCGGCCACTCCCCTGGGGCTCGGAGCGGCTTACAAGAACAGGCTAAAATCTAACACAATTTAAAACAATTTAAAACAATTTAAAAACAGCACTATCAAAGATCAAAGCCCTGTCGAAACAGATATGTCTTACATGCCCTGCAGAAAGCTGGTAAGTCCCGCAAGGCACGGACTTCAGGTGGCAGAGTATTCCAGAGCGATGGTGCCACTGCTGTGAAGGCTCTGCGCCTGGTTGCTGTTAGACGCAAGGTCTTGACACTGGGAATTTCCAATAAATCTTGGTCCTCAGAACGGAGGGATCTCTGGGGTTGGGAGGGGGTGAGGCGGTCCCTCAGGTACATTGGCCCCAGACCATGCAAGGCCTTAAAGGTGAGTGCCATCACTTTGAAAGTGATCCGGTGCTCAATGGGTAACCAATGCAGCTGCAGGAAGATTGGGGTGATGTGGCATCTCATCGGAGTTCCCGCAAGAAGTCGAGCAGCTGCATTTTGTACCAACTTGAACTTCTGGATCACTGACAGAGGAAGGCCAATGTAGAGGGCGTTACAGTAGTCCAGTCTTGAGATGACCGTAGCCTGGATCACTGTAGCCAGGTCACCCCTGGATAGGGAGGGGGGCAGCCGTCTAGCCTGCCACAGGTGAAAGAAGGTGGTTCTCCTAAAGGCGGAGACCTGGGCCTCCATCGTCAGCAGAGGGTCCAAAAGGACTCCCAGACTCTTGACCAATGATGACGGCCGTAGCGCCTTGCCATCCAGGGTGGGTCCTATGGCTGGATGTCCCCACTGCCCGGTCCACCCAGCCACAAGATCTCCGTCTTTGCAGGATTCACCCTCAACCTGCTGGCACGCAGCCATCCAGTCACAGCCTCGAGGCATTGATGGAAACAATCGGGTACAGAGTCCGGTCAGCCTTCCATCTTCAACACAAGCTGAGTGTCATCAGCGTACTGGTCACACTCAAGCCCAAAACCTCGAACCAGCTGAGCAAGTGGTCGCATATAGATGTTAAACACCAGAGGGGAGAGAATGGCCCCCTGAGGAACCCCACAAGGTAGAGGGGACCTTTCAGAGACCAGGCCTTCCCTCTCCACTCACTGTCCACGGTTGTGAAGAAAGGAGGGGAGCCAATTTAAAGCTCTCCCCCTGACTCCAACAGCAGCAAGGCAGTGGGTCAAAAGATGGTGGTCGAATATGTCAAATACTGCTGTGAGATCCAATAACACAAGCAGCCCCGACCCGCCCTGGTCAAGCTGGAATTGAAGGTGATCCGTGATGGAGACCAGCACAGTCTCTGTCCCGTGCCCCGCATGGAAGCCGGACTGGAAGGGAT